GGGGCGGGGAGGAGGCGCGGCGGGCGAGCGGCGGCGCGGGCGACGCGGACCCGTGGGATCGGGCGGGCAGGCCTCGCTTCTACACAAAGTCCTCTCGGGTCATCTCGGGTCATCTCGGGTCATCTCGGGTCATCTCGGGTCATCTCGGGTCATCTCGGGTCATCTCGGGTGATCTCGGGTGATCTCGGGTACTCTCGGGTAATCTTGGGTCATCTCGGGCAGGCCTCGCTTCTACACGGAGCGCGAGTGCGCGCGGCTGCAGGGCGTCCTACCATACCTCCAGAGTGCCGAATCCGGTGTGGGTTCAGTCCCGTGGGTGGTGCGGTAGGCTTCCCAGACAGCTTTGTCCTGCGGGGCGGCAAGCTGTACACGCAGCTTGGCAACGCGGTGTGCGTGCCGGTCGTCCGCGCGATCGCGGAGCAGATCCTTGCGGCCGTCGAGGGCGCGGCCGTCGAGGGCGCGGCTGACAAGGGCGCGGCTGACGAGGGTGCGGCCGACGAGGCCGGTCGCGCGGCGGCGGCGGCGGCTTCCGCGGCGGCGGCGGCGGCTTCCGCGGCGGCGGCGGCGGCTCCCGCGCCGCCGCCGGGGCTCTGTGCGTGCGAGGCGTCGCTGTCTTTGTCCGCGATCAACTTGCTGCGTGGCGTGACGCCGCCCGCGCAGCCGCCGCCGCCCACGGGCGCCGTCCCTGCCGACTATGGGCGGTACGGCGCTGAGACGCCGAGCGAGCGGTTCGCGCGCGTGCTCGCGCGGCCGCCGGAGCGCCTCTTTTGCATGGAGTGCGTCTGCACGTACAGCCTCGACCCTTCCAAATTATAATTTCAATTTAGAGGGGTTTTGAGGTTTTGGGCCGCGACGCCGACGGCGGGCGCAAAAGGCGATGGCGCGAGCCTAGGCGCGAGCCCACGGCAGCTGGCCAGCCCGCAGCTGCTGCCGAGCCCCTGCTCACACGACCTCAGCTGGCAGGAGATCGAGCCCGACCTGTGCGCTGGAGCCGCCGTGTGAGCCCTCTCCTCTCAGAGAGACTCGTCTCTATGACCCGCCGTCGTTTCTCGAGGAGCAAGCCGGGCGGACCGATCGGTGCCGGTGACAGTGCGGCGTGGACCATGAGACATGCAGCAGCGGCAGTGGCATGCACCACGCTGCGGCGCGTGCCACTCTCTTCGTTTGAAGTAAAAAGTCGAATCAGAGAAGAGGATGCGTGGCGACTGACACGTGTATGTGCTGGAAGGTAGTTAGAGAGCAGGGTGTGAAGAACTCGATGAAGAACAGTCTGCACTCCAGACGAGGCAGCAAAAAGGGCGCGGAGGAGGACGACGGACGAGTGGCCCGCACAGGCCCTCACACACACACACACACACACACACACACACACACACACACACACACACACACACACACACACACACACACACACACACACACACACACACACACACACACACACACACACACACACACACACACACACACACACACACACACACACACACACACACACACACCGCTCACACACGCGCACCGGGCCTTGCCCGCACTTTGAATGCCGTGGGGCTCCTATCGTTGGACGTGGAGACGCGAGGGAGTTGCCCCCCCTTGCCCCACCACCTCACGTGTGTGTGGAAAAGTTTACCTTACCTTACCTTACCTTAGGCAGCAAAAGCGGGTCGACGTGAGCGCAAAAAAAAGAGATCAAAAAGCCAAGAGAGCGGGTGAACACTAGGTAAGGGATCTCTAGTGTCGAGAGCCGAGGCGGAAGCTGCCGTCCTGCGTCCACCCATACCGCGCTGGTGTCCAGAGTCCAGCCCGAGCCTTGGCTGTTCTTCATTCCCCACCTTCGATACTGGCACTTGAGCACTGGATTGGGTCGATTCCGCACATGGTACGGGACCCCTCGATCGCTTCGATACTACCTACCGGGCTGCTCACCCACGTGCACCGGGCCAGTGCTTGCACTTTGAATGCCGTGGGGATCCTACCCGTGTCCGGGTGTGGAGATGCGAGGGTCGCCCCCCCTTGCCCCACCACACTTTGTGTGTGTGGAGAAATTTACCTTACCTTACCTTATCTGCGAGGTGCGAGCATCACGTGCGTCAAAACCGACTGATGCTGAGCTCTCCAGCTCACACTACCACACCGCCACAATGCCGCGACCTCAGCAGTCGGGCGATACTGGCGCGCTCGCTCCTGCTCTCGAGCAACGACAGCTTGAAGAAGGCTCCAAACTCACCGCTACTAATCAGGCCAGAGCCATCCGCGTCGAGGGCTAGCCAGAGCGCCTCGAGGCGCGACTCGGACAACAGGGACGTTGGGAGCTTCAGCAGGCTCCGCACCATCTTTGCAAACTCGTCAAAAGAGATCAGGCCAGACCCATTCACGTCCACGCGGCGGAAAAGCTTGAACCACGAGGGCGACTCCCACGGCGGCGACGTCGCGCGGTGCGCGTCTCGCAGGATCGCGGACAGCTCAGCCATCTCGGCTGCGTCTGCTGGCCTGACACCCGAGCGGGCGACATCGCGGCGGCGGCGCATGTCCTTCTCGGCGCGCACGGCATCGCCCGCTGCCCGGTTGCGCCCGTACACAAAATGCCTTGATGCCGATGCAGAGTCCGGCGTCGGCGCTCCGATGCGCATGAGCTTTCCAAACTCGCCGCTACTAATCAGGCCGGAGCCGTCCGCGTCGAGGGCGAGCCAGAGCGCCTCGAGGCGCGACTCGGAGAGCAGGGACGTTGGGAGCTTCAGCAGGCTCCGCACCATCTTTGCAAACTCGTCAAAAGAGATCAGGCCAGACCCATTCACGTCCACGCGGCGGAAAAGCTTGAACCACGAGGGCGACTCCCACGGCGGCGACGTCGCGCGGTGCGCGTCTCGCAGGATCGCGGACAGCTCAGCCATCTCGGCTGCGTCTGCTGGCCTGACACCCGAGCGGGCGACATCGCGGCGGCGGCGCATGTCCTTCTCGGCGCGCACGGCATCGCCCGCTGCCCGGTTGCGCCCGTACACAAAATGCCTTGATGCCGATGCAGAGTCCGGCGTCGGCGCTCCGATGCGCATGAGCTTTCCAAACTCGCCGCTACTGATCAAGCCGGAGCCGTCCGCGTCGAGGGCGAGCCAGAGCGCCTCGAGGCGCGACTCGGAGAGCAGGGACGTTGGGAGCTTCAGCAGGCTCCGCACCATCTTTGCAAACTCGTCAAAAGAGATCAGGCCAGACCCATTCACGTCCACGCGGCGGAAAAGCTTGAACCACGAGGGCGACTCCCACGGCGGCGACGTCGCGCGGTGCGCGTCTCGCAGGATCGCGGACAGCTCAGCCATCTCGGCGGCATCTGCTGGCCTGACACCCGAGCGGGCGACATCGCGGCGGCGGCGCATGTCCTTCTCGGCGCGCACGGCATCGCCTGCTGCCCGGTTGCGCTGGGAGACGTACTGCCGCGCAGCAGTGCTTTGGTTGTCAAGGACGCGATCAAGCTCGGCCAGCCGCTCGATCAGGGCGGCCGGGTCGAGCTCCATATGACCGTGGCGTTGCGGTTTCGGGGACGCACGGTGTAACCAACTTCGGGCGACATAACTAACTCGCGGTCTGAGAGGACCCTCCCACAAGAAGATCCCAAAAATCTCCTTCGCTTTTTCTTCTTTCATGCCGGACACATACACACGGCTACCTGTACCTCTACTCTACTTACCTCTCCCCAGGCAGCGCAGCGAAGCCAAAATTGCCGAAAGGAGGTCTACCTAACAAACACGGGTCTACCTAATAAACACGGATCCTGCGCGGATGCATCGTCGAGGAGCTGCCGGGCGGCGCGGAAGATCGCGTCGGGGTCAGCCTTGCTTGGGTCCTCGCCGACAATTCGGCGAGGCGGCGGAGTGTCGTCTTCACCTCCTCCTGCTTCTCGTCGCGCGGCGAGGCCAGCGGCAACGGCGGCGTGCCCGGCGCCTGCCGCTCTACGGAAGCGCGAGCTGCTGCTCGAGCGGCAGCGCCGCCGCGGCCTGTGCGCCGGCGTCGCCGCCGCCCGCGCCGCCGCCCGCGTCGGCGCCGGCGTCGGCGCCGGCGTCAGTCGCGAGGTCGTCACCAATGTCTGGGAAGGGGGCAGAGCGCGAGCTCCTGCTCGATGGCACGCGCGCAGGCGCTCGCCTCGTTGACGAGGAGCACCGCCTCTGCCATCGGCACTTTGGCAGCCCTGCGCACACGTGTGGGCGAGCTCGGCGACGAGGTCCCCCATCCTCGAGGCGTCGTCGGCGGCGAGGACGAGTGCGAGGAGCGACGTGCGACGCGCACCGAGCTCATGGCAAGCGTTTGATGCCGATGCCCATCGAGGCGCCCTTGATCTTTGGCACAGGATTAGCAGGCGCGTGCAGGTGTGTGGTGACGGCGGCGGCGGCGGCGGCGGCGGCGGCGGCGGCGGCGGCTTCCAACACCAACGATCTTCTTGACGAGACCGTCGACATGCGAGCTTACTCTTTATGCTCCTCCGCAGACACGCGCGCGCACGCGATCGCCGTGTCGATGAGGTCCGCGCACACCTTGAGGATGCTGTTAGGGTTGGCCCGGTTGGGGTCCTCGCCCAGCCAGGCGGCGAGGCGCTTGAGCAGCGTCTTGGTCTCGTCGCGGTGTGCGGTGAGCGCGTCGAGGCCGCGGCGCATGTCGGTGTGGAATGGAGCCATCGCGCTGCGGAAGCGCAGCGCGACCTGCCGCTCCTCCTCGCTTGGCTCACCACCGTCACGCTTCGGCGGCGGCGCGGACGCGTCGGCGGCGACGTCTGCGTCGAGGTCAGGGCAGAGCGCGATCTCCTGGGCGACGCTGTTGACGCCCTCCTCGAGCTCCTGGATGGTGATGCGGATCACATCGAGCAGCGGCAGCTTGCACGACTTCTTGCACGCGGCACGCACGCCGCCGAGCTCGGACGTGAGCGTGTGCCGCCACAGCCCGCAGGTGGCGCAGGCGTGCTCGAGGAGCGTGTGCTGGCCGTCGGCGGACTTGACGCCGCGCGCCTTCTCGAGCGCTTCGAGCTTGACACCGCGCGCACCGCCGCGCCTTGTGCCCGCGTTCAGGTAGTTGCCGTGCGCCAGCACCGAGCCGAGCAGCAGCCGCAGGCTCGGTGAGTCCATCAGCTGGCGCGCGGCGGTGGCGACGGTCGCGAGCGCTGCGGTGGCGCGCTCGAGGGCCTGCGGCAGCGTGTGCTTCTGCCGCAGCGCGTGCAGCATCGGCCGCAGCCGTGGCAGCCGCGCCATCTCGAAGCAGAAGCGCTCGGGCGCGGCGAGGCTCGACGGCGGCACGTGCTTGAGCGCACGCAACGCCTTGGCCTCCTCTGCCCAAGTCTTGGCGGGCAGGTTGCACAAGACCGAGTCGAGTAGCTCGGGCTCGAGCACGCTGGCCTCGAGCGAGACGATCGCCGCGCACAACCGCTCGAGCGAGAGCAGCTTCGACGTCTTGCGCAGGAAGATGCCCACGTTGGTCGCGCGCTGGACCGAGAGCACGTGCAGCGGCGCCGCCGCTGGCACGCCGCCGCCGCCCACGCCGCCGCCGCCCGCCACTGCCGCTGCACTCCCACGCGCCGCGCCGCCGCCCCCGCCGCCGTCAGCACCGTGGTTAGGCTTGGGCGCCGGCTTGGGCACCGCGAACAGCGCCTCCGTCTGCGCGAGGTCAATCGGCACCGCGTCGAGCGCGACGCTCGCCCAGACGGACGAGCCGAGCTGCGCACCCACCAGCTTCTCCCAGTGCACGGGTCGCATCGGCACGCTCGCCTTGGCGACCGGCGGCGGCGGCGGCGGCGGCGGCGGCGGCGGCCCGCCGCCGCCACCATTCGGGGCGCCGGCGGCGAGGGGCGCCGGCGGCGGCGGCGCGCCAATCGGCGGCGGTGGTGGCGGTGCAGGTGGCGGCGGGGCTCCAATTGGCGGCGGCGGCGGCGGCGGCGGCGGCGCTCCACTCGGCGGCGGTGGCGGCGCGGACGGCGGCGGCGCCTCGCTACTCTCAATCGTGAACAGGGCCACGGGCGGCGTCGCCTCGGCCGAGACGGCGGCGGCGGAGCTCACACGGCCCGGCGGCGGCGGCGCGAGATACGGCGGGAGGGCGCTTCTGCCGCTGCCTGGCGGCGGCGACGCGTGTGACGGCGGTGCGGGCGGCGTGACAAGCGCTCCACCGCCCGCCGGCTCGGTCGCGTGCAGGAGGAGCCGGAGCGTCTGGCCGAGCGTCTCATCTGTGCTCACCGCGGCGAGCCGCCGCAGCAGCACGGCCACGTCAGGCCTGATCGCCGCCGCCGCCGCACCGCCGCTGGAGCCGGCAAGGCCCTCCACAGCCGCCATCTCGTCACGGCCGCCCTCGCCGGCGGCGCGCAGCACTTCCTGCTGCAGCTGCCACGCTGAGAGCGCGCCCGCCGCCTCGCGCGCGCGCCACACCTCGAGGGCGGGCGGCGGCGTCGAGATCGGCGTGGCGCGGTCGGAGGGCGCGTGTGCCGTGTGCTGCTTGCCCATCCGTGCGGCCACACCGGCGGTAGCCTCCTCGCCCGCAGCCTCAATCGCCGCGGCCTTCTCCGCACTCGCCAGGAGCGCAGCTGCCCTGTCAGCAGCCGCCTCCGCAGCCGCCTTGTCCGCAGCCGTCTTCTCGGCAGCCGCCAGCAGTGCAGCTACCCTGTCGGCATTCGCCTTCTTAGCAGCCGTCTTCTCGGCAGCCGCCAGCAGTGCAGCTACCCTGTCGGCATTCGCCTTCTTAGCAGCCGCCTTGTCCGCAGCCGCCTTGTCCACAGCCACCTTGTCCGCAGCCGCCTTCTCCGACGGACTCAAGCGGGGCCCACCTGGTGGCGCCGGCGGCGGCAGTTCTTCGCGCTCGCCGTTGGAGGAGTCGGACTCCGGGTCAGACTCACTCTCGGACGCTTTCGCAGCCTCGCCCTGCTTTGCAGCTGTCGACTCGTCGTCTGTCGGCTTTATCGGTCGTTTGAGCTTTGACCGCATTATACGCGCCCGCGTAGTTGAGATAGCATGCGCCATGCTTGGCGGCTCGAGCACCTGCAAAGAGCACACAATCGCGTCTCGCTTGCCACTAGTCCTCTAGGGATAATCTGCGCAGCTGTGAGCGCTGTCAGAGCGGTGTTTCGACACCGATATCGTTCAAGGAGAACGCTGATTCAAAATCCGCTGTTCACACTTCACAGGTAAGTGTAAGCGGAGCAGCTGAGTAGATACAGCGAATCCTTTGTGTTCACACCTGCAAGAGCAGGTGTGAACCGATTTCGGCCTTAGCCGTCGTGCTAGCCAAGTAGTACGCAGTTGGATTCCGAGGGTGTCCCATCACAAGTTCGGCTGCCGACAGACAAGATTGTCCCTTAGTCGACAGCACCCGCCTTTGGACGGTGCTCTGACTGGCTTTGAGAATATATTTTTCGGTTGTAAAATTCTTCTTCTCCACACCGCCGTGGCGTGGCAGACGGTGAACGAGCTAGCGTGCGGGGACAGCGGCATTGTGCACGGTGCTAAGTGCATTGCCGTTCTTAACGGAGTCGCTTAGGCGGCTCCGGTGGTGTGCCTGTGATAGTATCGCGTCCACACACACACACACAGAGAGAGAGAGAGAGAGAAGGCCGCCCCGAGGGCCCAATTACAATTTTCTTTGTGTACTGGCGGCGTGAAACGGCCTCTCTCGGTTGCGTGTGCCGCCTATCGGCACGCGGGTGCTGCGCAGACATCGCAACTCTGCCCGCTCGCTCGACCCTTTTACCGCGAGAGGGCGCCGGCCGCGTGTAAGAGGTGGCTGGCGCCCTGAGGCGGCAATTGGTGGCGTGAGTGCGGAACGCTACTGGCGGCGTGAAAGGGCCTCTCTCGGTTGCGTGTGCCGCCTACGGCTTTATCGGCACGCGGGTGCGCAGACATCGACGCTGTGTGTGTCCAGCATATCCAGCGGACCGCGATGAGGGTATCGTCAAAAAAAGAAAGGGAATGTTTTAGATCTAAAACGAGTGCCTAGGACGGTGATGGTGAGTACGATGCGTCCGGCATCGTTGCGCTCGCGGACGCCCTCACAGGCGCGGTGCGCGCAACGGACCACAGACCCAGCGCGCGGGCATACAACTTCGCGTCGTATCGGGTCCGCTCTGCCACAATCGCGGCGCAGTCCAGCCCCTTGGCGGTACACTCTTCCTGCACGACCTTGGACTCGTTTGCAGGCAGCCCGCCCATCCGGTTGTGCGCGGGCGCAGTGTGGCCAATCTTGACCAATGGCAGACCGAGCTCCTGCAGCAGCCGCTCCATGCAGGGCGCGAGCTCCTCCGTCGTGCACACTAGATCGAAGCGCCGCACGACATCGAGCGTGCGGTTGAACTCCGCCTCGCCGAAGGCGCGGTACCGCTTGCCCATTGGTTCCTTATTTCCCATCATGAAGTGGTCAAAGTCGCCGTGCAGCAGCTGGTTAGACTGCATGTTGTACGGAAGCCAGTATTCGATGGTGCGGTTGAATCTGCCGCAAGATGGCTTGCCACCCCACATCCAAGCCGAGAGTGAGTGCGAGAAGGGCGACCGGACAAGTGTTGTCAAGAAGACCCTCGCCGACGGCAGGGTCCTTAGTTCCGTGATGCGAGGCAGTTCCTGGCTCACCCAGCCCTGCTGCGCGTCCTGTGGACGACGCTCAGTTGACGTGGCAGTCTGGATGGAAGTCCTGTGTTGGGACTCCAACACACACACACACTCACACTCTATGCACCCGCAACGTCCAGGGAAGGGCCGGGCGGGAGCACAAAGAAACAGCAGCGAGGGAGATGCCCGCCACGACAAGGTGCGCAGGAGATGCGCGCAGCGCACATAGTCTCCTGGCGTCCGTCGTGACCGGCGGGCACGCCTCTCACACACACGCACGCTTCTCTCTCTCTCTCGACTCACCACACTCTGAACACCACCACACCTACGGTGAGCTGGAGCTCAGTTGACGTGGCAGTCTGGATGGAAGTCCTGTGTTGGGACTCCAACACACACACACACTCACACTCTATGCACCCGCAACGTCCATCACATATATCAGTTCTGGTCGCTCAATGCAAAGAGGAGTGTTTGATTCTCCCCATGCCACGGTGGTGGAAGGCGTGGCACCCGTGATTGCGCATATGCACTGGGCAGGGAGGGCGGGAAAGTGCCCGCTGACATGGGAAGCTGAGAGAGGGGGCGAAGAACGAAGGCGCCGAGTCCATGGAGAGCTGACATTCAGATGTCGCGTGCCGGAGACTCATAACTAAACCACGCTCCGCAGCACAGGACCCGTTCAGATCCCTGCCTTCTTCAGCCTGGCTTCCATGGCTTCCAGCCTGGCCTCGACCGTGGCGAGCCTCTCTCTGCCGCGCTCCCCGCGCGGGTCGCCGCGCCTGCAGATGCCACCGGCTCCTTGTGCTGATGGTGGCGGTGGCCGCCACGAGGCGACGAGTGGTTGCCCCTGGGCGGGCTTGACGAGCGCGTCGACATGTTTAGCAGGTCGGGTAGGAGCTGTCTGCCCTCGACGTCCGAGCACCCAGCGGGGTCTTTTAGCTTGCGGTTGGCTGCGAGGCTGCTGCACGTCGCGTTGTGGCAAAAGCACCCGTTGAGCACCACCGGGCACTCCAAGCTGCCGCACCGCTGGCTCCTCTGCCAGCGTTTGACGCATGAGTGCTTGCCCTGCAGCATGAGCGAGTTTTTGGTCAGCATGCAGTAGGCCCAGCCCCCGAGCGGCTTGACCACGACGTGGTCGCGCTGCAAGGTTGCGCGCAGAAAGAGCTCAGAGGTGGCCGGCGGCGCAAATGCAAACGGGAGCCCGGCCTGGATCTCCGTGGCGTTCATCGTGGCGTAGCGGATGCGAGTGAGGTACAGGCGCATCGCCAGCCGGCCGCCCAGCGCCATGTGATCGTTGACCCCCGAGCGCGGCGGCCGCCCGACCCTGGCCTCCATGTAGGGCACGTAGACCGAGCGGTTGTCGAGTGGCCAAGGGAAGTCGAGGCGTGACTCCCAGATGGCGTCAGGGCGCACGCGCATGACCGAGTCGAAGGGGCGTCCTTCGCGCACCTCGTGTGCGCTGATCATGTGCTCGCAGTGCATCAGGTCGCAGAGGGACTGGACAAAGTTGCGACGGCAGTCGACACGGCCACGGTTGGAGCATTGGTACCATTTCGGCGTCTCAACGGGCGCTTCGCGGCACCAGCTGCCCTGTGGCTCCACGTCGGCCAGCGGAAGGAGCCGCCGAAGGTGCGTCCAGCTCTCATTCACGGGCCGGACGCCAAAAAAGACACTGGTGCCGTTGGGCGTCGAGAGAAGGTCCTCCACCCCAGCCTTCACGTTCAGGCCGATCTCCGAGAAGGACCGCTCGGAGCCGGTGATGCACACCGCGTGCCGGAGTCCTGCCGACCAGGGGGCGTTCCCTCTCCGCACTATGGCATCCCCACGTTTGTTAAGCGAAGCCATGATGCCGCGCACAGTAGTGCCTCCAGTCTTATGCACGTGTCGGTGGAACCACAAATGTATGCTGTTGTTGGCTGCACCCCGGTCCCGCATATCGTACATCCTGCCACGCCCTGCGACGGACCCTCGAGGTCGATGCTGGCGTGCACGACCGAGTCCGAGCCGAGGGTCAATCTTCTCCCTCTCGCGGCGCTGAATCTCCTGTGGCGGTGGTGGCGGCAGCGGAGGGCTGGCCGGCAGAGGGCGGGCGGCTGACTGCCGCACAGTCGGTGGTGGTGGCGGAGTCAGAGGCAGTTGTTCGGTGGAGCCTTGCGGCGACACCGCGAGGCGCGGCTGCTGCGGAGGAGGGATGGGTGGCGCCGTTGTGCGTACGAGCGTGAGAACCACCCAGCCCAACACCGCGTTGGCGACAACAGAGATCAGAAGGGCGACGACAGAGATCAGAAGGGCCCGGCCATGTGAGCACGAACTGCGCGGCGACGACACCGATGCGACCAAGCTTGAGCGCTCGAGGCGTGGCCGGAGCGGAGACGGCACCGATGCGACCGAGCTTGAGCGCTCGATGGTAGGTTTAAGCATGCGAGTTCTGCGGGAAGACGATGCTGATTAGACACGATGTGCTTGGGTTTGAGCATTGCGGTGTGGCAGAGGGAGGGAGAGAGAGAGAGGTGCAGAGGCGGGGCGAGCGACGCCGACGTGGCGCGGTGGGTGCAGAGACGGCACGCAAGGTAAGCGTTGTGCGAGTCGACCTGACGAGGCTGTTGAGAGTGCGAGAGCGCGGAGCGGTGGCGTGTGTGCGCCTGTTTGCTGTAGAGGACAGTCTTCAAAGGAGAACCACAAAGCAGGGTGAGACGCGCCGGGACAAGGATTGCTTCTGAAACGCCGTGGGGAAAGAAAAGAAGACGGCCCGGCAGACAGGCTCGACACAGGTGCGAACTGGCGCGTGCTAGCACTATCACAGGCACTCCCTCGCACGACACTGGGCACGGGACTGGCGCGCACTGGCACTAACACAGGTACACCACGGGAGTCGCCTAAGCGACTCCTGCGAGGACGGCGAGGCACTTAGCTCCCTGCACTCGACCGCCCTCGCCGCGTTGAAAAGAATTTTGCCTCCGAGCGCAGCTTCTCTCGAGGTTCTCGAGGTGGATATCCTTTGGCCGCGTTGTGTGCGCAGCTTGATTTACGAGGCGCGGGCTACCTCAACCACCCTCAGGGCGACATCACCAGCAGCTCACCGCCTCGGCCGCCAGCAACAACACGCCTCGCAGAGAGAGAGAGAGAGAGAGAGAGAGAGAGAGAGAGAGAGAGAGAGAGAGAGAGAGAGAGAGAGAGAGAGAGAGAGAGAGAGAGAGAGAGAAAGAGAGAGAGAGAGAGAGAGAGAGAGAGAGAGAGAGAGAGAGAAGTTTACCTCACACGAATGATCGCCCATACCGCGCCCAGACCGCGCCGGCATCCAGACCGAGCCTGGCTGTTCTTCTTCACCACAGATACAAACATACAATCACCACGTCGCGCGAGTCCTCAGAACGACAGCAACAATTGCGCCGAGGTGCGGCGTGCTCGCTTTCTCAGTTGCGGCGAGGGCGGGGGAGCACGTGATGCACGTCGAGGCCGCGCTGCTGGCGGCCCAGGCAGGCGTCGGGCCGCTGCTGGTGGAGGTGCGGCGTGTGGCGAGGGTGATGGCGCCCTGTGGGGTGTTTGACTTAGCCCTGCGCCTTAGAGCCACGGACGCCATCTGCACACCATATTCCAGATACCTCACCCCCCGACGCTAGCACGCGCCAGTTCGCACCTGTGTCGAGCCTGTCTGCTGTGAGAGGGAGTTCTTTTGTTTAAAGGGGAGTGGGTGGGCGCCGGAGTGGGAGTGGTGTGACTGCTCCTGTGGTGCGGGCGACGGCTTCTGAGGAAGCCGTCGCCCGCGCCTCGCCCGTCGCGTGAATCGTGTCGCTGCTCCGCCCCGTCCGAATCCGTCCGCCCGCGCGTGCTGCTGCCGCCGCCGCCGCCGCTCCACCCGGTGCCCGTGTATCGTGAGTGAGAGTTGCTTTGTGTACATGTATGTGTAAGTAGGGGGGTGTGCAGTGTGGACTTGTGTATGTCACGCAGCTTGAGCCTCTATCTATGATTAGTAGACCGGACTCGGGTTTGGATGGTAGCGGGCCCGCCGGAGGCTGAAAGAAAGAAAGAAAACAGCAAGCCAATGGAGGGATGGGAGGACGGAGGCTGGTGACCAACGGCGCTGTGTGTGTGTGTCTCGCGCCTTGCGGGGGGGGAGCGGAAAGGAGGAACCTCTTCCCAAGAGCACCACTCTTGGAGCGCCGCCACTACCACCCAGAGCGCTGCAAGCAGCGCCGGGCAATGACGGCTTACCGCCCACCCAGCCCCCCCTCGGCACACCCCGGCAGCCAATGTGTGACGGCTCGAACCCGCTAAGCCATCCCGCAAGCGGGATGGCCCGCCACTCGAACCCGCAAGCGGGTGTACGAACCGCGAGCGGCTCGCACTCGTGACACGCAGGCGTCCGACAGACGGCGCCGGGGCTAGGCGACCGAAGAGGAACTACGGCAAGAACCGCACACCACCCGCTGACGAGCGCTCGCGGAACTGGTCCGCGGCGCCCAATAAAATAAATAAATAAAACGGACATCCCAAGCTAGGGCTGGGTCGAGGACAGACACGTCCCCACCTTTGCAGGATTTTGCAAAAGCGAGGGGGGAGGGGGCGCATCGCGGCGCGGAGAGGGCCCGCCAGGGGCGTGCGTCGCGCTTTTCTTTTCTCCCTGCACCGCTTTCCCAGAACCGGCCATGCTTTTCGTGGCAGCCGTGGCAGCCGCCTTCGCGCCTCGGCAGCTCGCGCCTCAGCTTAAACCGGCCCAGCGTCCTGCAGCGGTCCTGCTTGGAGCGACCGCCGAGTCCACCGCAGCTCCCGCCGCTGCCGAAGAGAGCTCTCCCGCGCCCACCGCTGCCGACCCAGCCGTGGCAACGCTCGACCTGCTCGAGTGGCCTCGGCTCTCCGCGCACGTCGCTCAGCACGCGTCGACGGCCTTTTCGCGCGAGCTGTACGGCGCTGGCATCCCGCTGCCGCGCGAGCGCGCCGAGTCGGAGGCGCTGCTCGAGGAGACGGCAGAGGCGTTCGCCATCGAGAGGAGCCTCGGCGTGCCTCTCGAGCTCAAGGGCTTCACCGACTGGCTGCCACTGGTCTCGCTGGCGTCCAAGGGAGCGGTGCTCGAGGGCCCGCAACTCGCCTCCATATCCACCTCCCTCGGGGCCGCAGCCTCTCTCGTCAAGAAGATGCGCTCGCTCGACGATGCGCAAGGCAGCAGCGGCAGTGGCGGCGGCGGCGGCGGCGGCGGCGGCGGTGCCGTGCCGCATAGGCTCCCGGCCCTCTTCGACGGGGTCGGCGTGCAGGCGGCTCTCAAGCTCGCCATTGACGAGGCAGTCGACGACGCCGGCGAAAGACGCGCGACTCCGCCTCGGAGACGTTCCGGGACACGTCCGCGACATGTCCGAGACACGTCCCCGCTAGGCGTCGTGCGCGACTCCGCCTCGGACGGGCTCGGCGAGGTGCGGTTCGCCAAGCGAGAGCTGGCGGCGGCGGTGCGCAAGAGCCTGGCGGAGCTGGTGGCGAAGAAGGGCGACTCGGTGCTGGCGAACCGTTTGCCGACGCTGCGCGCGGACCGCTTCGTCCTGCAGGCGGCCTGAGATATGGGGAGATGTGGGGAGAGATGGGGAGAGATGGGGAGAGATGGGGATACATGATGACGCGTTCGTCTTGGGGGGAGAGCGGACCGCTCCGCCTCGCAGGTGGTGGCCAAGCAGAAGCACCGCGTGCCGGGCGTCGTGCGCGACGTGTCTGGCTCGGGGCAGACGCTCTTTATCGAGCCCAAGGAGGTTGGAGAGCCCATCCCCCGTATCCCCCCATATCTCCCCATATCCCCCCATATCTCCCCATATCTCCCCATATCTCCCCATATCTCCCCATATCTCCGTGCAGGTTGGCGGGCCCAGCCCCCATATCTCCCAATCTCTCCCTGTCTCTCCCCGCACCTCCCCACCTCTCCCCGCAGGTCGAGGGCGCAAACACAAAGCTGCGCCAGCTCGCCAGGCGCGAGCAAACGCTCGTGCGGGCGGTGCTGCAGGCGTTCGACTGCCGAGAGACGGCCGAGAGATGATTTACGTGCGGGCGGTGCTGCAGGCGCTAGGCGGCCGAGAGACGGCCGAGAGACGGCCGAGAGATGACGTACGTGCGGGCGGTGCTGCAGGCGCTCTCCAAGCGAGTGGGCGCGCCTGCCGTCGCTCACGAGCTCGAGGCGCTGCACAGCGCCGTGACGAAGGTCGACCTCGCCGCCGCGCGCGCGCGGTACGCCGCCGCCGTGGGCGGAGTGCCCGTCCGCTTCTCGGACCACCGGGCGGAGGGCGTGGCACTGCAGGGGCTGCTGCACCCTCTGCTGCTGCAGCCTGCGCCCTCCGAGCCGGTCGAGCGGGGCGATGTCGTGGCGCAGGACTACGAGCCTCCTTAATCAGCCCTTAATCAGCCCTTAATCAGCCCTTAATCAGCCCTTCATCAGCCCTTCATCAGCCCTTGAGTAAGGTCGTCGTTTGAGCAGGACTACGAGCCTCCTTAACTAGCCCTAAATTAGCCCTTAATCAGCCCTCAATCAGCCCTTGAGTAAGGTCGTCGTTTGAGCAGGACTACGAGCTTCCTTAACTAGCCCTTAACTAGCCCTTAATCAGCCCTTAATCAGCCCTTAATCAGCCCTTAATCAGCCCTTAATCAGCCCTTAATCAGCCCTTAATCAGCCCTTAATCAGCCCTCAATCAGCCCTTGAGTAAGGTCGTCGTTTGAGCAGGACTACGAGCTCCCGCCGCACGTGCGCGCGATCGTGATCACCGGGCCGAACACCGGCGGGAAGACAGTGGCACTGAAGAACCTCGGGCTGGCAGTGCTGATGGCCAAGGCTGGCCTCACCTCCCCCCATCTCCCCCCGTCTCCCCCCGTCTCCCCCCATCTCCCCCCGTCTCCCCCCATCTCCCCCCATCTCCCCCCATCTCCCCCCATCTCCCCCCATCTCCCCCCATCTCCCCCCATCTCCCCCCATCTCCCCCCATCTCCCCCCATCTCCCCCCATCTCCCCCCATCTCTCCCCCCATCTCCCCCCATCTCCCCCCATCTCTCCCCCCATCTCTCCCCCCATCTCCCCCCCCCGTGGCCACCCCATCTCCCCCCACCCCCCCCCAAATCGCAGGCTGGACTGTGGCCCGTCTGCTCAGAGCCGCGTGGCCGCTCTCTCTCGGCCGACGCCTCGCCGTCGGCGGTCGCCGCCGTGCCCTGGTTTGACGCCGTGATGGCAGACATCGGCGACGACGGCCAGTCGTCGCACGCGAGATCAGCCGAGATCCACCCGAGATCAGCCGAGGTTGCGCCTCCGCATAGGCGACGACCAGTCGCTGGTGCAGTCACTCTCGACCTTCTCGGCGAGCTGTGAACAGCGTCTCTTCACACCTGCAGCTGTGAATAGGTGCAGTCCCTCTCGACCTTCTCGGAGCTGTGAACAGCGTCTCTTCACACCTGCAGCTGTGAATAGGTGCAGTCCCTCTCGACCTTCTCGGCGAGCTGTGAACAGCGTCTCTTCACACCTGCAGCTGTGAATAGGTGCAGTCCCTCTCGACCTTCTCGGCGCACGTGGCGCGGGTGCGCGCCATCCTGCAGCGCGTGAGCTGCGAGTCGCTCGTACTGCTCGACGAGGCGCAATCTCGGGCAATCTCGGGCAATCTCGGGCAATCTCGGGCACTCTCGGGCACTCTCGGGTACACTCGGGTACTCTCGGGTACTCTCGGGTACTCTCGGGTACTCTCGGGTACTCTCGGGTACTCTCGGGTACTCTCGGGTACTCTCGGGTACTCTCGGGTACTCTCGGGTACTCTCGGGTACTCTCGGGTACTCTTGGGCACTCTCGGCTAATCTCGGGTACTCTCGGGTACTCTCGGGTACTCTCGGGTACTCTCGGGTACTCTCGGCTACTCTCGGGTACTCTCGGCTACTCTCGGCTACTCTCGGGTACTCTCGGGTACTCTCGGGTACTCTCGGGTACTCTCTCGGGTACTCTCGGGTACTCTCTCGGGTAATCTCTCGGCTGATCTCGCTCGTGCTGCTCGGCGAGGCGGACGGCGGCACCGACCCGCCCCCTTTGGTAGGTTGGCGCCGGCACCGATCCGACGGAGGGGTCTGCGCTCGGGGCGGCGGTGCTGCGGCGGCTCAAGGCGACGGCGGGCTGTGAGCAGCGTCTCTTCACACCTCTAGCTGTGAATAGGTGCTGCGGCGGCTCAAGGCGACGGCGGGCTGTGAGCAGCGTCTCTTCACACCTCTAGCTGTGAATAGGTGCTGCGGCGGCTCAAGGCGACGGCGGGCTGTGAGCAGCGTCTCTTCACACCTCTAGCTGTGAATAGGTGCTGCGGCGGCTCAAGGCGACGGCGGGGCTGACGATGTGCACGACGCACCACTCGTCGCTCAAGACGCTCAAGTACCCGGACCCCCTCCCCCCCCCCCCTTCCCCCCTCTAATGAAGCAGTTCATGAGCCTCTGAGGAGCGGCAGGGTCACTCACTAACAGGTACTCGGACGCCGCCTTCGAGAACGCATGCGTCGAGTTCGACGACGTCGCGCTCGCGCCAACCTACCGCCTCCTCTGGGGCGTCCGACAACGCGAGAGGACGGCGAGATCACGCGAGATCACCCGAGATCGCCCGAGATTGCCCTCTAGGCGTCCCCGGCCGCTCCAACGCCATTGCCATCGCGCGGCGGCTCGGGCTGCAGCCTGACGTGCTCGACGACGCGGTCGAGTCGCTCGGCGCGGGCGAGGCGGACGTCGGCGAGCTGTGAACAGCGTCTCTTCACACCTCTGGCTGTGAATAGGTGCGGGCGAGGCGGACGTCGGCGAGCTGATCGAGCGGATGCAGGCCGAGCAGGGGGAGCAGCGGGCGCTGCGGCAGCAGCTGGTCGGCTTGCGCGACGAGGCTGAGGGGGCGCGGCGGCAGCTCGAGGCGCGCCGGCTGGAGCAGGAGGCGGCGGCCGCGGCGGAGGCGGCGGCGTCGCGCGAGGCGCTGCAGCGCGAGCTCGACGCCGCGCGCGCGCAGATCGCAGACTTGGTGGCCGCGGCCAAGGCTGGCGCCGACGGCCCCGCGCCGACCCCCTCGGCGACGCTGCACCGCCTGTCTGTGATTGGAAAGCGGGTGGCGGGAGCGCCAGAGGCGGAGGCGGCGGCGGCGGCGGCGGCGGCGGCGGCGGCGGCGGCGGCGGCGGCGGTGGTGGGCCGGGAGGAGGCGGAGGCTGGCGACTCGGTGATCGTGCGTCGACTCGGGGAGGAGCCGGTGCTGGTAGAGTCGAGGAAGGGGAAGCAGCTGACGGTGGCGTACGGCGGGCTGACGATGAAGGTGAAGGCGGCCGAGGTGGCCAGGGTCATCAAGGCCGAGAGGGTGGTGCCGCCCCCAAAGGCTGCGGGTCGCAAGGGCGGGAAGCGCGAGCGCCGCGTGACCGCGGTGCGCGTCCCTAGCAACACGCTCGACTTGCGCGGCAAGCGGCTCAACGAGGTTGGCGACGACGTCGCGCACGCGCTCGATCGTGCGATGGACCTCGGCTGTCTGTACATCATCACCGGCCGCGGCACCGGCCAGATGCGCCGCTTCGTGAGGGAGCGGCTCGCGGAGGACCCCCTGGTCGCGCGGTTTGAGGATGCGCCCGAGCCGGAGGGGGGGAACGGGTGCACCATCGTCTATCTGCGCTGACACCCTTGCGCTCGCTTGACTCTAGAGCTGCCATTGCGCGTGGTACCGTGCGTGTACTGCGAACACACACTGTATTACACCACGACGTGAATTGTGATTTGTCAATTTTGCTACACAGAGTCACTACACGGACGCGGGTCTCTACAGCCGCTGAGAAAAGAGACAGCGCGCCACCTGTTCCTCTCGGCTCTCCAATCCTGGTCTCGATCTTCACCTACCTACCTCGGCCACCTTCGGAGCTGGATCGCAACCGCAGCGGCAGCGACACTGGCCCACACGACCACGGGCAGGTAATCAAAGCGGGGTGACGAGGGCGGACACCCAGCCCTGTCCCACGACAGTCCCTTCACCCCGACAGCGCTCTCAAGGTAGCGCAGGACCGACCCCAAGCGCGCCGGCTCGGAGCGCAGCGCGACGTGCGAGTCCGGCCGCACGAGCATGAGGCACTGGGCCTGCACACCGAGGACCTCGAGGGCAGGGTGCGAGGCTGGCAGCGTGACGACCGTCTCAATCACCCCACGGCTGTACGACTTGATTTCCTTGCCCAGGGCGTTGAGCTCCGCTGCTGAGAGTATTTTGACTGAGCTGAGGTTGCGCGCGAGGTCGGCGTTTTCGTGAGCGTACCCCTCGCAGAGCAACAGCATCCATCCGTGATTGTAAGGATAGAGCCGGCGCGCAGGAAGGCCTTGCTGTGCACCAGGGAGGTCAAAGTTTGGCAGTCGATCGCCGGCACGAATCCGGTGACCGACCCACCGATACAGGTTCTGCCGCCGCCTATAGCCCCCGGCTGGGAAGATCCTCGAGACTGGCAGCGGTGGGAAGGCCGGCGGCCGCTCCCAGTGCTCTCTGCTCAGTGCGCAGTCACGGTAGGAGTGGATCTGCATCGCAACCGCTCGCACCGCGGTGCCATGCAGCGCCGGGAGCATGCCAGCGAGGCGCTGCAAGCTGCCGCGAATGAAGAAGACTAGCGGGTTACGGCTAGCGGCGCCGTGCGCGGCACGCTCGATGGCCCTGCAGATGCGCTCGTCGGTGCCACGTCGCTCCGCCTCGTACGTGTCGAGCAGAGGGCCGTCGATCCTTGCCTGCCCCCGCACCACCATGGCAAGCTTCCAGGCGAGGTTGAGCGCGTCCTGCATGCCCATGTTCATCCCCTGACCGCCGAGTGGGGAGTGACAGTGGCATGCGTCGCCACAGAGAAAGACGCGGTCCGAGCGATAATGCTCGACCAGCCGCGAGTTTACCTTGAATCCGGTGCACCACTTGACGGAGCCGGGGACGACCCGTAGCTCAGACGTGCCAAAGCCGCGGACGCGCGCTATCTCTGCGACCTCGTCGTCGCGTGGCGGCCGTAGGAGCGGGCGGCCATGAGAGTCCGCCTCGCCGGTCAGGAAGCTCGCCGACTGCGCCTCGTCCAGGTCAACGATTAATAGCTGCGCCCGGGGCGAGTCCTCCGGCATAGGCATGGAAAAGAAGAGGCCGGGCGCCATGCCGCTGCCCTTGCTCAGGCCAACTTCGGTCGTGTGGATGCCGTCGCTCCAGCAACACTCGCCGAGGCCGTCAAATGTGGCATGGAGGGCGAGGAAGTTCTCGTCCATGGTCTCGCCGTCAAAGGACAACCCGAGGGCCTTGCGAATGGTGCTCCTCCCACCGTCCGCCGCCAACAGCCATCCGCAGGCGAGCATCTGCTTACCCGCTGGCGTGTCAAGCTCGCAAGTCACCCCCAGGTCGTCTGCCTCAAATGAGACGAGCTTGGTGCCGCGCTCAATCTTCATCCGGCCACGCACGCCCGGCAAAGTCTCAAAATACTCACTCAGCACCTTTTCTGTCCGCCACTGCTCTTGGGCCAGGACTCCCTCAAAGGTGTCCGTCCTGCCGCGCATGTCAATGCTCAGCACAGCAGCTTTGCCCTGGTCGGTATTCTCCCAGACCCGCGCCATCAAGGCCGTCACGGAGCCAGCCTGCATGGCAGCAACGACACGTTCCGGGAGCTGCTCGAGGGTCCGCGCCTGCGTGCCCGACGCCTTGGTAAGGATAACAGGCGCAAGGTTGCTATCAACAATCCGAACGTGCACGCCCTTCTCCGCGAGTGCGATGGCTGCCGTAATGCCGACTGGGCCAGCTCCAACCACGAGCACGTCGACCGTGGCCATCTCGCTGCTGCGGCCGTCAAAGCTCATACTGAGGGGACGGTACCAGGTACTCGAGTACTGAGAGAGTATGGGGCACTTCCCCTTCAACTCTCTTACTTATTTTATATTACCCAAAAGCAGGCGTGTGAGAGAGAGAGAGAGAGAGATGCCTTTCGGGGCCCAGAGATAAAACTTCTGAAGCCATGCATGACCTAGTAGTGTCCCCAGCTATGGGCGTGTCCACGTTGGAGCCAGGTGTGGTGTGGGCGCGAGAATAGCTCCGCCGTTAATGGAGGCAACCGATGCGAGTCGACTGGTGTGTGTCGTCGTGGTTTCGTATCAAGAATACTCACTCACTCACACCAAAAGCAGGCTCACACAGCGCCCTCTATGTTGGGTCAAGGGCGCCTAGAAGAAGGCGCCGCCCCCCGAAGAGGAATCCCACCCGTACCCCGAGCCCCCGTCGTAGAGCACGTCGAAGGCGTCGTCGCCGCCGGCGCCGCCAAAAGCCCGGGGGGGCGTGCTCGGGCGTTGTCGTAGTCGTAACTCTCGGTCGAGTGCAGCATCGACCGCTTCCTCGAGCTTGTTTTAGGTTTGTTGTTGGCAAATCAAGACGAGCTTGTCGGTCTCGAGTGAAAAAAAACGCAAAGGAGGGAGTATTTCCAGGGTCGTGGACGACATTGGAGTAATTCCTGATAAAAAGAAAGAAAGAAAACAGACAACCCAAGGGAGGGATGGGAGAACGGCACGCCGTCACCGCACAGGGATTTTAAGGAGAGGAGTGTGATGCGCTAGCCGTCGCCCACCCTGGGGAGTCTGCTTCTTCGTATCTCTTTTCGCAGTCTCTCGCCGCTTCTCGCTGCAACCTTCATGCCACCTCGCGGCCGTCCCACTCTCGTCGTTCTCTCCCTAAAGAAAGAAAGAAAGAAAACACACAACCCAAGGGAGGGATGGGAGAACGGCACTGTCACTTCCTCCTCTGTCGCGTCGTTCTCTTAATTCCTGATAAAACTTTTACGAACAAATTCGGCGCCAAACGTGCCGCCTGTGCCGCTGAGCGCATCCGACGCCCTTCGTATGCGATTTTTGAAGCACTTGTTTCTCTTCACCGATGCTCAGGTGGCAGAGGTCAAGTTCAGATGGTCGGGCGAGCTTCCGAAATACGGAGTGCTCCCCAAAGCCTCTTGCACTGGTGGCGAGGACCCAGTCGACATCACCAACCTCGAAAGCGTCAAGGTCAAGAGCCTCTTCACATGGGCAATGGTACACAGCCTCTCAACGGGGCAGATTGACCTCCCACTGCTCTTCTCCGTGTTTCTGGTCCTCCTGCAGGCGTTGATTATGTTTGCCTCCGTGTTCTCTTCCTTCCTGGACAAAGTGACGACATACCAGACGGTGGCCCCGATTTGCCACGATCCTCTGGCTGACAGCTTCAACTTTAGGTGGACCAGCATCTCGTGGGCATCGGAGAGTGCAGCTGCCATCGGCTCTCTCGTGCTCTTCCCGCTCGCACTCGTCCTCACTTTGATCGAGCTTGATGGCTTCGAGGAGGTTGCATATCAGCGCTTGCTGTTGCATTCTATCGGTGCCCTGCGCGGCAGCGGGCAGCCTGGAGCCTGGCATCCGCGTCGGTCGCTGCTCGTATTTTGGGGCTGCTTCGTCGAGTTCAACCTTGCTCTGGTCTACCCGATGCTGATTTATGTCACCTCTTGCACGGCAGCTTGGACCGCAACGGTCGATGTTGACCATCTGCCTTCGTACAGCAAACTTCTCGTGCTCGGCTCCGTCGCGGGCTACCTGATGAACATGGACAAGAATGCGCTGAAGGTCCTGCAGTACTCTGTTCTCCGAAACCAGACGGCCTTTGATGAGATCGTACTCACCAAAGCAGCGAGTGATCTCGCGTCGCGGAAGCCGGTCCAAGCAGGATTCGTCATGGGCGGGTTTCAGGTGGCCATCATCGTGATGCTACTCTTCCACGTTGACTGGTGGCAGATCTCCTTCATCCCAGCTATCGGGTTTGTGCTCACCGCGGTCTACGCGTGCTACTTCATTAAATTCCAACGGGAAGGCTGGACACGTGTGGTCATGCTCGTCATGTGGTTCGTGTTCAGTGGCGTGATCATCGGATCGCTCTATCCCTTCTTCTTTGAGTTCGAGGGCCAGATTGGCGATTGGTACAAGAAGAAGCCCCTGGGTACAGCGGATTCCTCTTGCTCGCGTTGAGATGGCCACGCTCCAGGCGTCGTGCCGGGCGCAAGCGGGCCATTGTCAAGCGGACCCCCCCCCACGCCCATGTACAGCGCGCCACGGCAGCGCATCGATCGCCGCGAGGGCCCGAGCGGTCCGATCGAGAGATAGTTACGGTGCTGCACCTGGGCATGGGGTCTGTCATATGCCTTACTGTGTGTACCATAAGCGTACCTTGGAGCACTTTGGAGCACTTGTACCGATTACGTGTCTTGTGATTCTTGTGGACGGCACACACCTCACACACGGCGGCGAGAAAACACAAAGCGAAAATGGGGGGTGGACACGCGCTTGTGAAGTGCTTGTACGTGTCCGTTTTATTTATTTATTTATTGCTTGTACGGACGGTATTTTGTGGAGCACTCACGATATGCGCTCCTACCACACGGGTTCACAGGGCAGGTAGCTCGACCGCGCTCGCATCAGTCAGTAGCCACTCGACCTGCGCGCCGTATGCGCAGGTGACCATCCCAGCGGGCATGCCCGTGTTCCGCTCCGCGTTGGACCAGCCCAAGCATTTGCGTACCATTGCCGCCTGCTCCGGCTTGGCTGCCGAGAGAAGCACGGTGCGGGCGGAGCTGATGGCGTCGATGCTCAGGGTCACGCCGCCCTTGCCCTCCGCCTCGAGGCAGGCGCGATCGCACCCGGGCGAGACGACAACCTGCGCCGAGCCGGGGTAGAGCGAGGCGCAGTGGCCGTCCGCGCCGCTCCCGAGCAGCACGCAGTCCAGCGATGGCAGCCCCGTGCCCTCGCAGGTGCCGACAGCAGGCGAATCGAGCAGCGTTCGGCTGTACGCCTCCGCCGCGTCGGCCGCCGGTCCGGCCGGCACCCTGTGGACGTGGCCCACGCCGCACGTCGCAATCAGCTCCTCGGCGCCGGCCCAGCACTTGCCCGCAGCCTCGCCCTCTGTCCTCTCGTTCCCAAAGAAGAGGTGGACGCACGACCAGTCGAGCGCGCCCGCTAGGCTCGCGAGCGGCTCGACGGTGGTGCCGGAGCCAATGGAGAGGGAGAAGCAGCCCTTTTCGGCGATGGCAACGCGTGCAACCTCGGCGACGCGGTCGCGGATCAGGTCGGAGACGGCGCTCTCGCTGCGGAGGACGTGGCCGACCCGGCCGTCCGGCAGGGTGAAGGCCGGGACGCAGGCGAGGTAGGCGAGCATCATCGAACATGAAGCTCTGTGGCGGGCTCTGCTTTTGGGCAGGCAGCTCACCATGGGGCGGCAGGTGGAGTTTCACAGCGTGGCACGCGGTTTTTTGCTTGCAACACCTCGACCGAGCTGATTGTGGTGTAGCTGCTGTCCCTCCCCCCCACGGCGTACAGGAGGCCGTTGTGCGACGCGAGCCCGAAGCTTTCGCGGGCAGTGGTGAGGGCCGGCCCGGCGTTCCACGAAGTGCCGTTGAACACCTCGACCGAGCTGAGTATGCTGTATGGCAATGTCGCAGCCGCCGCAGTCACTGTGTGCTCTAAGTGGCTGAAAACATAATTGTTTTTTGAGCCCCTACGCCCTCGGGACGCGCACCGCGCTACTGCTCCCGGGCAGGGGTGTAAGGGAACACACTAGGGCACACCAGGGCATCCCTCCCTCATCTGCTCTGCCACGAATTCTGACTCCTCCCTCTCGACCCGCTCAGAGCGAGTAAACAGCAAGTCGTCGAAGCCAGTGAAACCCCCATCGTTGTACCGAAGGAGAATATCGCCCAGCTTTGTCTTGTAGAATTTGGACTCTGCGGGCCCTGGGCTCCATTCGACAAGTTGATGAGCAGGCCTGCCTTCACCTTGTAGACATCCAAATCGATAGAGCGACGATCTTCGATCGTATTCATCCGGTGGTATCCAAAGAACTTGCCTCGCGTTCTCATGATCAGGCCAGGTACCTTCACGTGTATTAGCTCAAAGTTTGCGTTCATACGTCGTGAGGTGCGGCCACGGATACACACACACACACACACGCGCGCGACCTCGATAGACCCCAAAAGGTATTTTGACTCAATAGTTCCACGCGCCTTGCCGGCCTTACGCTCATAGATCACGAGTTGACCGGATAGTGGGTGTGCAACGCTGGTGTGTGAGTGAGTATTCCTGATACGAAACCACGACGACACACACCAGTCGACTCGCATCGGTTGCCTCCATGAACGGCGGAGCTATTCTCGCGTCCACACCACACCTGGCTCCAACGTGGACACGCCCATAGCTGGGGACACTACTAGGTCACGCATGGCATCAGAAGTTTTATCTCTGGGCCCCGAAAGGCATCTCTAGCAGCGTCGTTACGCATGCGCCCTCCCCTCCTGGGCGCATACGCCTCACGTCTCGCCAGAGCATAAGCCCTTGGTGTGTGACGAGACGAGTTCTTCGCCATCGCAGCGAGCAGCAAACACTCGCCGCACCAGCCGGAGGCATCGCCGCAGCACTGTCTGCGCTGCGGTCCTGCACCCGTCGACGAAGCTCCCCCCGCGGAAGACCGCGCGTAGCGACGCCTTGACGATCGAGATGAGCGCGCTTGAAGCTCGCCCACCCCTACTGCCCCTGAGAGTTGGTTACCGAGTGGGATCAGCTCCCCCCCTTGGGATCGAAGCTTCCACGACCTCGCACCCAACAGCACAGGCGGGATCAGAGAGAGACTCCGCACCGGACACCGCCCGGGCACAGACCCCCTACCCGTCGGACAACGCCTGGACCCCTCACAGAGCAGCCCACGCACAGATCACGCATCGGCAGATTTGACACCTGGTTCAGGCGTTGACAGCACACACTGGTCACAGTTGCATAGCCCTGCCTCTTGTCCTCACAAAACGGCTTGCACTCGGACTCGGCGCCGCACTCGGTGCAGCCGCCGCAGCCGGCCCAGCTGCACCGGGCGTCCCAGGGTTGCGTCTTTGCTTCACAGAAGCCCTGGCATTGTGGCGGGCTTGCTGTCGGTGGCGGGACGTAGCATTCGCTGCAACCGTTGGGTGTGGGGATGGACAGAGGCTGGGGTTGGTGTGGTGGGCGCTCCACATATCGCTTCCAAGATAAAGTCGGGGGGCGCGCGTCTCTCATAAAATTCTAATCCGGCGCACACCGCACAATCCACAACCACAAGAGCACCATTCCACAAACGACCAAGCTAAAAAATGCCGCGTTTTTGTCTGCGCGTTTTTTTTAGGAGCCCCTGGAAGATTAATCCTGGGGATGCTGGAAGTGAAACGACAACACGTGTCTGTGTCACCTCTGTCTGACAATGCCATGCGCGCACGGGTATATTACTACTAGAGTGTATCGTGTGTGCGACCGTGTTGGGCGGTGTGGCCAGTGTCACCCCACCTGCGGTCTCCCTGAACTCCCCGCTTTCCCTGGGGGATAGCAGATAGCACGCGCAGCGAGGGAGCCGGCCGCGACCATCATGGGGAAGCAACAGCAATGCGACCACCATCATGGGGCTGTACAGGACACACACGCCTGGACGAGCCACGCGGCCACAACAGCGAGGAGCGCGGCTGTGCCTTCTCGGAAGGAGAGGGGGGAGGCGCCGACGAGGGCCGCGAACACGAAGAAGGCGCAGCGCAGCGCGTTGGAGCGGAGCAGGTCGACGAAGGGCGGCAGCGCTTCGACTGGGAGAAGTGCCGTGATTGGCTGTTGCAGCCAAGTGCGGACCACGAAGCTGGCGCAGAGCAGCCAAGCTGCCGCGCGCCGCCGCCCGCACCACCAGAGGTTTGCGCTGGCGGCGATGAGCGCGACGAGTGCGACGTCTAGCTGCTGCACGAGGCCCAAGCTGACCACGGGACGCGGCATCGGGACCAGCAGCTGCGAAGCGTTGGGCGGCGGCGGCTCCTCTGGCGTGTGCGTCGCCTCACCGAGGAGCGAAAGCCAGGCTGCGGCGAGCGACCGACGAGCGCGGCGAGGGCGACCTAAGGCAAGGCCAGGTAAATTTCTCAACACGCAAGGTGGTGGGGCAAGGGGCCAGGCATCCCTCGCGACTCCACGTCTAAAAGATAGGAGCCCCACGGCGACACACACACACACACACACACACACACACACACACACACACACACACACACACACACACACACACACACAGAGAGAGAGAGAGAGAGAGAGAGAGAGAGAGAGAGAGAGAGAGAGAGAGAGAGAGAGAGAGAGAGAAGACGGGCAGAAGAGAGAGAGAGAGAGAGAGAGAGAGAGAGAGAGAGAGAGAGAGAGAGAGAGAGAGAGAGAGAGAGAGAGAGAAGGTGTGAGAGAGAAGGTGGGTAGGTAGAAAGGTGAAGAACAGCCAGGCTCGGACTGGACACCATCGGTGTCGAAACACTGCTCCGACAGCGCTCACACAGCTGTGAGCAATCCTGTCACGCGGCGCGGGCACTATGATGCGCCGCAGATCTTCAGTGGGAATCTGCCATTCATCGACTCCCTTCGCGGTCCCTGCCCCGCCCACGCCTCGATGCCCCACACTTTCACACTTCGACTCGCCTCTCGTTCCGCCCTGTCCATCTACCGGCATGCTCACACGGCAGACCCCGCGGCACGCAGGTCCCATGCCCGCTCCCTCGCAAATCAACGCGCTGCTCGTGTTCGCGGGGTTGACCTACCCCACCTATCTCTCGGCCCGGGCGATCGTCACCCAGCAGTCGTACATCAAATTGAATTGGCCCGCAAACCACTTGGTGCCGTTCGTGTGCTGAGCCTCCAATTCTGACGGTATTCGCTTGGGCGGGGACCGGTCCGAGCTATTAGTGCCACGAAAGAGAGGCTGCTGTGGCTGCGCCACGAGGCCGACCGATGCGGTGTGCGGAGCCTAGGCTCCCCACCGGAGCCAGTGGCGGTGCGGCGGCTCGCGTGGCGGGCGTGGCCGGTGGCAGGCGGCAGCCGCCCCACGCGGTCCACCACATGGCGCGCGCGAGCTGCGTGTACGTGTCGTGTGTCGACAGTGTGTGTATAATTTAGTGCGTGTGCGTGTATCGACTCTAATCGTCCGTGTGCTGTCAATACGAACATCCATCAGCCCGGCCGTCCATCTCAGCGCCCGTCACTCGCTATCTAGCGGCCGTCATGCTCGCACAGTGTGAAACAGAGACTCGCCCAGTGACTCAAGTGTCTCTCACTGCACACTGTTCCACGCTCGGCCTCGAGCCCATGCTGCATGCGCATGGCGTTTGGCGTACCGCGCCCCCCCACTAGCTGGCTGCGCCCCCCGTCAGAAGGCCGAGTTGAGCACGACGTTGAGCAGGTCGCCCGGCTTGTTGGCCGCGCTGTCGTCCTGCAGCTTCTCGTCGCCGAACCAGGAGACGGCGTGCAGGCGGTCGCCTGCTCTCGGGGAGACGTGGGGAGGTATGAGGAGGTATGGGGAGGTATGGGGAGATGTGGGGAGATGTGGGGAGATGTGGGGGGAGGTATGGGGAGGTACGAGGAGGTATGGGGAGGAATGGGGAGGTATGGGGAGGTATGAGGGGGAGGGATGGGGAGGTATGAGGGGGAGGGATGGGGGTGTGTGGGGAGGTGTGGGGAGGTGTGGGGAGGTGTGGGGAGGTCGCCGTCGAAGATGTCACGCCCGTGCAGCACGCGGTAGTTGTCGCAGAGCAGCACCTCGCCGGGCTGCATCGGCACGGTGACGATGTTCTTCTCGGACACCTCGTTGATGTGCTGCAGCATCTCGCCTGTTCACAGCTGCAGGTGTGAACAGCGTCTCTTCTCCGACACCTCGTTGATGTGCTGCAGCATCTCGCCTGTTCACAGCTGCAGGTGTGAACAGCGTCTCTTCTCCGACACCTCGTTGATGTGCTGCAGCATCTCGCCTGTTCACAGCTGCAGGTGTGAACAGCGTCTCTTCTCCGACACCTCGTTGATGTGCTGCAGCATCCCGCCTGTTCACAGCTGCAGGTGTGAACAGCGTCTCTTCTCCGACACCTCGTTGATGTGCTGCAGCATCCCGCCGGGGATGAGCGAGAGGTCGCCAAAGTAGATGTCGGTCATGCCAACCTAGAAGGTTCCAGGAAGGCTCCCAGAGGGTGCTAGAAGGGTCGCCAAAGTGGAGGTCGGCCATGCATACCTCGGGCGTGCCGCACGGCCTCCGCTCGCGCAGGAAGCGCGCCTGGTTGTGCAGGTTGCAGAACCACGCCGGCCGGCCGGTGGCGGGGTGGCGGTTGACCGGAGACTGCGCGTTCTGCACGGCCTGCAGCCGCATCGCGCGCCCGTCCGTCCCCCAGAGCATCTCCAGGTCCATGTCGAACTTTGGCGCGACGCCGTCCGCAACCATCTGCTCGAGCTTGCGCATCGCCGCCTCCTTTTGCGGCGGCGGCAGCTTGTCGAGCAAATCGAAATCGAGATTCGACACCGAGATGCGGACCTTCCGCCTCATGATCTCGCGGAGCACCTCGGGGTCGAGATCGCGGAAGATCGCCTCGCCGTCCGCGATGAAGAACTCGCCTAGAAGGCTCCTGGAAGGCTCCTGGAGGGTTCCTCGCAGAAGATCGCCTCGCCGTCCGCGAGGAAGAAGTCGCCTAGAAGGTTCCTGGAAGGCTCCTGGAGGGTTCCTCGCAGAAGATCGCCTCGCCGTCCGCGAGGAAGAACTCGCCTAGAAGGTTCCTGGAAGGCTCCTGGAGGGTTCCTCGCAGAAGATCGCCTCGCCGTCCGCGAGGAAGAAGTCGCCTAGAAGGTTCCTGGAAGGCTCCTGGAGGGCTCCACGCGGAAGACTGCCTCGCCGTCCGCGAGGAAGAACTCGCCTAGAAGGCTCCTGGAAGGCTCCTGGAGGGTTCCTCGCAGAAGATCGCCTCGCCGTCCGCGAGGAAGAAGTCGCCTAGAAGGCTCCTGGAAGGCTCCTGGAGGGCTCCACGCGGAAGACTGCCTCGCCGTCCGCGAGGAAGAAGTCGCCTCCCCAGCCGGTGGCGGGCTTGAAGCAGACGAAGGCGCCCGCCTTTGCCGTCTTCTTGAACGTGCTCTCGTTGTGCAGCCCGATGTAGTGCTTCGAGAGCGACTCCTTGTTGACCTGCGGGGGGGAGATATGGGGAGATATATGGAGATATGGAGAGCGACTCCTTGTTGACCTGCGGGCACAAGAGGCGGTGGGGGCGACGGCGGCGGTGGTGAGGACGGGGGCGAGGGAGGCGGCGAGGGTGGAGGCGGCGAGGGCGGAGGGGCCGGCGGTGGCGGCGGCGAGGGAGGCGGTGGCGAGGGAGGCGGCGAGGGTGGGGGCGGCGAGGGCGGAGGCGAGGGGGGCGGAGGGGCCGGCGGTGGCGGCGGCGAGGGAGGCGGTGGCGAGAGGCGGGCAAACGGCGGTCAAGCCCTTCTTCTCCCTCCTCGTCGCCGGAGGCGCCTCCAGGGCGAGTCGCTGGAAGTGCGGCGCCAGGCCGCCCCCAACGCCTTGCCTCGTTTGCGCCTCCGGCAGCAGCGGCGGCAGCGGCGGCGAGTGTGGTGGTGGCGGCGGCGAGGCGTCGGTGGGGTATGAGGCTAGCGGCGACGAGGGTGGCGAGGCCGGCGGCGGCGTGAGGCGGTGGCGTGGGAGGCGGTGGCGTGGGAGGCGGCGGCGCGGGAGGCGGCGGCGTGCAGAGGTGGCGGCGCTCGCCTCCTCGTACAGCGCGTCGTCTTTTGAGAGGAACTTGCGGAGGCCCGAGGTGTGGAGCGGGTCGAGGCACGGGTCGAGGTCGAGCGACTCCCAGAAGGAGCGGAACCCGTCCGCATCCTTCATCAGCTCGAACCCGCGGAACCAGATCGTCCCGTGCTTCTCGAGCGTCGCCTTGAGCTCCTCGCGCCGCTCGACAAACCACGCGGCGCCCGCGGCGTTGGCCGCCTCGGTGGCGTGGATCTCAATCGGGCAAACGGGCAGACCCTCCTCCCGGTACTGCTTCTGCCACGCCTCGATGTCGATCTCGTCCGCGTCCCATATCGTCGGCGGGCAGTCGGGCAGCGCGGTGCCGATCGCCGGCGGCGAGTCTGCGCGCACGAGCTCTGCGACGGCCCGGACGCGGCCGGAGGTGCGCTGCGCCGCGCCGGCCGCCGGCCGAAGCGTCGGGCCGACCGTCAGTGCGGCGGCGGGGGCCGCGGCTAGCGCGGTGATCGCCGCGATCAGGCGTGTGCTCCGCATCCCCATTAGGTGCAAAAAAAGAAAAAAAACTGGCTTATTTTTTATTTATTTTCGAGAAGGGGGCGACCGCGAGGTGGCACGAAGATCGCAGCGAGAGAATCGGAGAGAGACTGCGAAGAGAGATAGGAAGAGGCGGACGCCCAAGGGTGGGCGACGGCTAGTGCACCACACCCCTCTCCTTAAAATCCTTGTGTGGTGGCGGCGTGCCGTCCTCCCATCCCTCCCTCCCTTGGGTTGTGCGTTTTCTTTCTTTTTTCCCCAGCCACGGAGGCGTGTTTTCTGACGGCCGACCGTCAGAGAGAGAGAGAGTTTGTTTTGACCGTCAGTGCATCCCCATTGGAGCATTGGAGAGAGAGAGAATTCTGCGGTAATGACTGCGCTCCAAGTGCTCCAAGTGCTCGTGCTCTGCGTATGCATGTGCGTGCGTGCGTGCGTGCGTGCGTGCGTGCGTGCGTGCGTGCGTGCGTGCGTGCGTGTGTGGTGGGGGGGGGTAGCAATACCAAACAACTCTAACACTCACACATCATTTGGGGCCTGGAGCCCTGTTCACGCGCGCGCGAGACGTGCAGACAGGGTTGCCAGGTGAGAGCGAATGGCGCGGTTCACGCCTCGCACAACAGAGAGAGAGATGCGCTCTGCATGGACCATGGTGGGACATAAAAGAGAGCGAGTACTTGGGCGAGTAGGCCGTGCGGTCGACGCTGCCGCGCGCGACCTTGCGCGCGAGGCGGCGCAGCTACCTTGAGAACGGCGGTGGGCGAGAAGCCGCCGCCGAACGTCTCGTGGAGCCGCAGGTTAAAGTTGTTGCGCTTGACAAAGATCGCGTCGTGGTAGAAACCGCGATGCGCCTTGACGTAGCCGTGGCCGGTCTTGTGGGAGAAGGGTTGGCCGGGCTGCCCGCGCGCCTTGCAGCCCATGTGTTCAGGCGCGGCGGGCCTTCTCCTCGGTGCTGCCGAAGGCGTAGGAGTGGCCAACGGAGGCGGGCGTGCCGCCACGAGCGGCCGCACATTGCTCGGTACCCCCCCTGCACATCTAAAGTCATCCCTGCTGCTAGGGGGGGGGGGGTCCCGACCCCCCCAGCAGCAGAGCGCTGCTGCTGGGGGGGGGGGGGGCCCCCCCTGACTTTAAATGGGCCGGGGGTGGTACCAAACAGTGGGGGGACCCTCCACTCGAGCTGAGGGAGGGGGTAAAGGATGTAAAGGGTAAAGCCCTTTAAAAGCTGTAAATAAACCGCTCTGGAGCGCTTTAAAGCTGCAAAGCTCTATATCCCCTGCGGGACAAGGCGCGTGCGTTTTAAACCCCTGTAAAACCTTAAAGCTTTCACTCCGCCCCGTGACAATGCCCCCGCGTTGTAAACCGAAGTAAAACCCCCTTTTGCTGAAAATTTTGTTGAAAAGGCCTTCAAAACGGGGGAACTCCCCTCCCCGGGGGGGGGGGGCGTGAGCAGAAGCACGCCCCCCTCCCTGGAAGCGATGTCCGCCTGCTCCTACAGCCAACCCGCAAGAACATATTCGACACCCTCGACGACCATCTCGGCTACGGTTCCGACTCCGGCTCCGGCCGGTAGTCGACAAGCTGCCGAGCCCAAACCACTTTCTGTGACACATTTCTTGTTGGCTTCTAAAAATCTCTCTCCCAACCCGCCGGGAAGGCAGTGACTCAAAGAGGTCGAGTCGCACTAATGGGGTGTCTCCGAGCTTACTAGAGCTCTGATGGACGGCCCTGACTATCACTGACACGCAGGCGTAAGTTGTTGCTCGAATATTTCTTTTTTCTCCTTGCGGGGCTTGGACGCGGCTGTTGCAATATCGGCGGCTAACTCCGAAGTTTCAAAAGGCAAGCCGTGGTGCCCTTTACTCCTGTCGGCTTCCTAGTCGGCTCCCTTGTCCCGAACGGCCTGATCATCAGCCGGAGAACCGATGCGGCCATCGACAAGGTCGCCGCCTCTGCGCCACTGCCTCATCGCCACCAATCTCTCCGCCACCACCCACTCCACCTCCGCCCTCGACGCCACCGCCTTCGTCACCGTCGATCACTTATGCCACCGCCCTCCTCACTACACCAGGTCACTTAAGCCGGAGCAGCGCGCCATCCTGGAAGCCACGTTCGATCTCAAGACCACGCCCGATTCGTTCCTCACTCGACGTCTCGCGGAGGAGTGCAACCTGAACCCGCGCCAAGTGCAGGCGCGAGCTGCGAGCGGACCGCCCGCTCCACGCACAGCGTCTGAACCTCCGATTCGATGGCGCAGGTGTGGTTTCAGAACCGCCGCCAGCGGCTGCACAAACGCAAGAGAACCGTCAGGACGTCATCGCCGTCAGCGGCCGAGCCACCGGCGAAAAAGGCGGCAGCGGAGCCCGCGAGGAGCGAGCCCGAGAGGAGCGAGCCGGTCGAGAGTGAGTCGGTCGATAGCGAGGCGGACCCGTGCTCGCCCGCGCTGACCTTCTACACGGACGACTTTGGCGCCGAGCTCCCGCTCCTGTGGCTCGACGAGCTCGACGTCGGCACGGCGTGCGAAGCCGAGCTGACGCGCCGAGGCGCCGGCCAGTCGCAGCCGTGAGGCATGCCACAGCAGCAGAGGCACCTGCCACCCATTGGGCGGGCAGACAGAAGGCCAGGGCAGCACTGGCAAGTGCAACGCGCCTCATGTCGGAGAGCGACCGTGCCTCGTCGCCGCTGATGCAGATGTAGAGTTTGTTGTAGAGATTTCACGTTGTAGAGCGCCTCTACACCGCTCTACAACGCACGCGCCTCGTCACGCGGCGGATGTAGAGCTCCACAGCTCTACAGCGCTCTACACTCTACATCCTCTACACCCTCCCTCAGCACTCGAGGCGTTGCCAACGCCCGTCGAGGAGGTCTTGAGGAGGGGTGTCCAGAGCTTGACTTCATTCACTTCATCGCATCCTCCCGGCCCTGCATGGGGTTCTGCGAGGTCAGTCTTGTACCCCTCATTGTACTGCCGGGTGAGATCCGGTTTCTCCTTGTCACCGTGCACGACCGGCGCGTTGGCCGGGGCGCGCATTGCGTCCGCCCAGGCGGCGAGGACGCCGTCGTGGGGCCGCCGGTGGTGGGCCTTGTTGTTGTTTTGTGTGTGTGCGCGCGTGTGTGCGTGCGTGCGTGCGTGCATGCGTGCGTGCGTGCGTGCGTGCGTGCGTGTGTGTGTGTGTGTGTGTGTGTGTGTGTGTGTGTGTGTGTGTGTGTGTGTGTGTGTGTGTGTGTGTGTGTGTGTGTGTGTGTGTGTGTGTGTGTGTGTGTGTGTGTGTGTGTGTGTGGTGTGTGCAAGTCGACTGGTGTGTGTAAAAAACATAAGAAATACCCGCAAAACGCGGAGCCCGCAGAAGCTCGCTTTACGTGGATGCGGGCTCGCTTTACGTGGATTCCAAACGGCGGCCAGAAACGCAAGCTAAATCACCACCAACACGCCTCCACTCCACGATGCTCGCCAGCCTCCACAGCAAGCTCGCCAGCCTCCTCGCGATCCTATCCGCCGTCACCGCCACGCCGCAGTGCCCGCCCGCCGGCTGGGAGACGTGCTCGTCCGCGTGGCCTCCGCCCGCCGACGGCTACTGCTGCTCGGCCGCCGGCTGGCTCGGCAGCACTGCAGCTCACTGCTCCAACATCAACGCCCTAGACGAGTGCTGCTCGCTGAACGACGAGGGCCGACTTACCTGCGTCACCGAGTGCGAGGAGCCGCCGGCCGTCTGCACAGGGGATGCCGCCATCGACGCCGTCCTTTTCGAGAGCAAGATTGGGTGCAAAATCGGCCTGATCGACTCCAACGAGATTTACAAGTGCGCCCATCCACCAACCACTCGCCACCGCCTCTCCTCGCCCTTCTCCCTCTCCGCCGCCCCCTTCCACGCACCACTCGCCACCGCCTCTCCTCGCCTTTCTCCCTCTCCGCCGCCCCATTCGCCGCCTCCGCTGCGCAGGTGGTCTGGCTTCTGCGACGCCCTCCGCTCCTTCAACGACCTTGAGAGCGACCGCCGGCTCTTCCTCGGCGAGGGCGACATGTCCACCGCCCTCGGCCTCTCCAACATCGCGGGGCTGCTCGCCCAGGCGATGTGGGAGAGCGGCGGCGAGGCGCCATTCACTGCCTGCGACGAGAACGACTACCCGCCCTCCTCGCCGACCGCGTCGTGCACGCAGCGCTCCGACGGCGAGCTCTACCACTCCCTCAACGACCAGCCGTGGGCGTGCTACGTCGATCCGCAGATGACCATGACTGCCGAGACGTGGGCGTCGTGGGCTCCCGGACCGCTCAAGTGCGAGCCAGGCACGGGCACCGAGAAGTGCTGCTGGTGGGGCCGCGGCGCCATCCAGACGACGGGCCCAAACAACTACGGCCTCCTGCAGCGCGAGGTCTTCTCCCAGGTGCCCTCGCTGAGCGGCATCGACCTCTGCACCAACCCCGAGGCCATCTGCCAGAACGACGACGCCAAGTGGCTCGGCGCGATCTTCTACTGGGCGAACAACGTGCAGGGGTACGGGCTGGAGGCCGAGGCGGCGACCTTTGACGAGTCCCTCCGAAAGTTCGTCGAGTCGGGCTTCAATCGGGCTGCGTCGGTCGTGGCGGGCGCCGACTTCGCGTCAGGCACGGGCGGCGTGGTCAACAACGGCTACTGGGGGGCCACACCGGCCGAGAACGCTGGCCGCCTCTCCAACTTTGACTTCATCATCTCCGAGTTCCTCGCCGCCGGCATGACCATTGAGGGTGGCGGAGGCGGCGGCGGCGGCGGGGGTGCGACTTCCCCGCCGCCGCCTTCGCCGCCGCCGCCCTCGCCGAAGCCACCACCAGGCGGCGACGGCGGCGGCGGCGGCGGCGGCGGCGGGACGCCGCCTCGGGTGGTGCAATACTTCTCCAGCTGGGGCATCTACCAGTACGGCAACCGCATCCCCTTCAAGCCCAGCGACCTCCACCTCGACAAGATCACGCACGTGCACTACGCCTTCTTCGACGTGACGAGCGGCTGCGCCGTCGCGTCGATGGACCCGTACGCCGACTTTGACGTCGTCTACCCCGAGGTGGGCATGACCTGGAGCTCGCCGCACAAGGGGAACGTCGGCGCGCTCCGGATTCTCCGCGACGAGCAGTACCCCGACCTGCACCTCGCCTTCTCGCTCGGCGGCTGGACGAAGAGCAAGTTCTTCTCCGGCTGCGCCGCCGACGCCGACAAGCGCGCCGCGCTCGTCGCCTCCGCCGTCGACCTCCTCACCGAGCACGACTTTGACGGCATCGACGTCGACTGGGAGTACCCGGCCTGCTGCGGCGAGTCGGACAACCAGGTGGACGGCAACGACTGGGCCAACTACGTGCTGCTGCTGCGCGAGCTGCGCGCGGCGATGGACGAGCGGTCGCCCTCGAAGCACAAGGAGCTCACGATCGCCATGGGGATGAACCCGCGCGTCTCTGGCGTCGCGCCGCGCGCCGAGCTTGGCGAGGTCCTCGACGCCATCAACCTCATGTCGTACGACTACAACGGCGCCTGGCTGCCCTTCGTCGCTCACAACGCGCCGCTCTTTGAGGACCCGGACGGCACCGCCGCCGGCGGCGCGCCCGAGTTCAACATCGACTGGGGCGTCCAGCTGTGGCTCGAGGACGTCGCGCCGAGCAAGCTTGTGCTCGGGCTGCCCGCGTACGGCCGCGGCTGGCTTGGCGCCAACCAGGAGTACGCACAGGCGCCGGGCGAGAACGGCGCGGGCAGCCCCGTCAGCGGCACGTACGAGGAGGGTCTCGTCTCGTACTACGACATCAAGGCGAGCTACGACGGCAACCCCGCCTGGACGAAGGGGTGGAACGCGGCGAGCAAGGTGCCATTCTACTACCGCTCCAGCCCGGCCTCGTTCGTCTCCTTTGACGACGAGCAGTCGATCGCCATCAAGGCGGCGTACGCAAAGGAGAAGGGCTTCGCCGGGATGATGTGGTGGGAGGCATCCGACGACAAGGACGCGGACCTGCTCTCCGCCGCGAACAGCGCGTGGGCCGCGGGGGGCGGAGGAGGCGGAGGAGGCGGCGGAGGAGGCGGTGGCGCGACCTCGCCACCGCCCTCGCCGCCGCCGCCGCCCTCGCCGCCGCCGCCGCCCTCGCCGCCGCCGCCGCCCTCGCCGCCGCCGCCGCCCTCGCCTCCGCCGCCGCCGCCCTCGCCACCGCCCGGCGCTATTTCCGACCCTCCTCCGCCGTCGCCGTCGCCACCCCCGCCGCCATCGCCACCCCCGCCGCCGTCGCCGCCACCGGCGGGCAACGGCGGCGGGCAGTGCGTTGACATGCCGCTGACCGAAGGTTGGTCCTCGACCTCCTGCGCCGCGCTCGGCGCGTCGAGCTGCCCCGGGTGGCCCTTTGAAATGATGTGCGGCTACTGCGCGCACAGCATCATCGGCACCGCTTGCTGCCGGTGCGGTGGCGGGAGCGGTGGAGGCGGCGGCGGTGGAGGTGGCGGAGGTGCGCCTTCCCCGTCGCCGTCGCCGCCCCCGCCGCCATCGCCGCCGCCGCCTTCACCTCCTCCGCCGCCTTCGCCGCCCCCACCGCCGCCATCGCCGCCCCCGCCGCCATCGCCGCCGCCGCCTTCACCTCTTCCGCCGCCGTCGCCGCCCCCGCCGCCATCGCCGCCGCCGCCTTCACCTCCTCCGCCGCCTTCGCCGCCCCCACCGCCGCCATCGCCGCCACCGGCGGGCACCGGCGGGGGGCAGTGCGTGTCGACCGGATTTCATTCCGGCTATACCGACGCTTGGTGTGACCGCAACTGCAACTGGACGCCCTCCTTCTGCCCCGCTCAATACTGCACCCAGGACTGCCTCGGCGGGAGCGGCCGTCGCCGCCTCGCCGAATCCGCGCCCGCCCCCTGGAGCAGCAACGCGCGCGCCGCCGTCGCAGCTCCGCTGGCGCTCGCCGCCGTGGCTGGGCTCGCCGTCTACGGCCGGCGCCGCCGGGCGAGCCAGGCGAGCAACCTTGCCGACATCGAGAGCTGCGCTGAAGAGGCGTGAACCGGTGAACGCCGTCAACCTGCCGTCAACTTGCCGTCGACCTCCTCTCCGTGCCACGGGGCGCGATCTGCGATCTCTGGCTCGCGCGCGCTCAGACTCTCGCTGAGGCTTGCTCTCTCACAGCCCTGTTCCCCGGCTGTCTCCGCCCCCAACTTGTCGCTTTAGTCTTCATGCGTTGTGCGTAGCGCCTCTGACGCTCGCAGCGCTGAACCTGATTAGTGATTTGTGATCTAGACATCAACTGGTTGATATACGTCAGTAGACAGTACTGCATGCATGTGTCGAGTATGTTTTCAATGTCGTACGTTTTAGTCCGCCCAGGCACGCCGCAAGGCCAGCGGCTCTCCCTGAAACTCCTCTTGTGCTCTTCCTGGAGCTGGACACGCGCGCTGGAGTGGCCTGGAGGTGGAGCAGCCTGCACAGCCTCCTCCGGCCCCTTGCCCCCCTGGTTGAGATCTCTCCGATGGGAACTCTTTAATTGCGCATGCCTCCCACCCATGTACCAAGAACTGACGTTGGGGAGGGAGCCTACCCGCCCTCCTCCTCCCGCGGGTTGCGTGGCTGGCGCGCTTTTCTTATTCAGAGCGAGGGACGCAGGCACGCAGGATCCGCAGGTGCGGGTGCCAAGTCGTGGCGGTGCGCCGCCAATGCCGGGCAGCTCCTCCCGACAGGCGCTCCTCCTGATGTGACCCACGCATGTGTTCCTTTAGCACGTAGCCGCGGTTTGCCCTCTTTACTTTTCGGCACTGAAACCAAAAAAGAAATCGCTTTGTCGACGTCTCTAAGATGGCCGCCCACCGCATGAGCGCCCGCCTCTCTGGCCTCTCGCCAGAGCAGCTCCTCGCCTTCATCGACGAGCAGGCGCCTCTCTGGAGCGACGCCGCGGTGCGCGTGGCGGAGGAGCACGCACGGCTCGTGGAGCAGCCCGAGTGGATCCTCTCCGAGGTCCTCCTCTCGCCGGACCTCGCCCCGCACATCCTCGCCCAGCTGCCGACCAAGGAGCACGCCGTCAAAGGGACGTGCCGCGCGTGGCGCCGCGGTTGGAAGCAGACGCTGGTGAATCGCGAGCGGCCGCGCCTGGTCGTGTTCGGCGGCAACGGCAACGGTGGCAACCTGAGCTCGATGGAGCGGTACGACCCTTCCACAAATGAGTGGGAGGAGGAGGCTGTGGAATCGATGCCAACGGCACGCGAAGATGCCGGCATGGCGGTCCTCGATGGCAAGCTCTACGCGGCGGGCGGCCTCGAGGGCGGCCAGGATGGCGGCGCATTTTCCAACCTGGTGGAGCGGTACGACCTGGCTGCGAACGCGTGGGAGGCGGTGGCGCCGATGGCGGGGGCACGCGAGTATCACGCCGTGGCGGTGCTCGACAGCAAGCTGTACGCCGTGGGAGGCTACGACGACGACGCCCTCAGCTCGGTGGAGCGGTACGATCCCGCGACGAACACGTGGGAGGCGGTGGCGCCGATGGCGGAGGAACGGTTTATGCACAGCGTGGCGGTGCTCGACGGCAAGCTGTATGCTCTGGGCGGCATCAACGGTGGCGACCTCAGCTCGGTGGAGCGGTACGACCCGGCGCTGAACGCGTGGGAGGAGGTGGCGCCAATGCCGACGGCTCGGGCTGAGCTTGCGGTAGCGGTACTTGACGGCAAGCTGTATGCTGTGGGAGGCGGCAACGACGACGACGGCACCCTCAGCTCGGTAGAGCGGTACGACCCTGCGACGAACGCGTGGGAGGCGGTGGCGCCGACGGCATTGGCGCGGCAGGCCGCCGCTGTGGCGGTGCTCGACGGCAAGCTGTACGCTGTTGGCGGGCGGGGCCCGCTAGGCCTCACCGGCCGCCTCAGCTCGGTGGAGCGGTACGACCCGGCAGCGGGCGCGTGGGAGGCGGTGGCGCCGATGGCGGCGGCGCGGGTGGATGGTTTCGCTGTCTTGATGTAGTAAAATAGTCGGATGAGGTATACCTATAACGTTCTTTTTAGAGTTTGGTTTGGAGCGGCACTTGGAGTGCAGTGGAGTGCAGTCAGCAGCCGCACGCCCAGGACCGGGGAGCTAAGAAGCGCACCCAGTTAGATGGAGTTTGGAGGAAAATTCTTTTTTAACGGAGTCGCGCGGTTTGCCTGTGTTAGGTCCAGCGAGCCGTCTTATTACCAGGTTGCAACCCTATAGTTTCGCACTGTGCTGTGAACGCTGCTGGTTGGCGTCGGTTGCGCAGCACCCCGTCCCCATCCAGGTTGTTGTTTGCTGCCCCAGGTCCCGCACTATGTAGGTGCAATGCCCCGTTCTCTGCGAGCCGTCTTATTACCAGATAGCGCACCGTGATCCTCGCTCGTCGGCATCCGCGCGGGCTCCCAAGTCAGTAATCGCACGCGAAAGTTTGTTGGTATGTATGTAGGAAGAAAGTGTTACCCCACAAGCCCGTGTGTCCCGAATCCAGCGGTTGGTGTGTGTGTGTAATGGCGTCCGCCGCCCGCAAGCGCGCCCGCACCGGCGGCGGCGAGGTGGACGAGGAGCCCGTGCCGGTCGCGGATGGCTTCGACGCGCGCATCTTTGGCGCGCGCGTCGTCGGCCAGGTCTCCACGCTGACGCTCGAGGGCGAGGACGGCCCTCTATCGCTCGGTCCGGTTGGCGTCGCGAGCGACCACGCGGGCGCCTGGTACGTCGCGACCAAGGACTCGCTGCTGCACGTCTCGACGGCCGGGCGTGTGCGCCGCGTGGCAGCCTTGCCGGCAAGTGACGACTACTACTACACCGCTGCCGCCAGCCCGGACGGGAGCGCGGTTTTTGTGGCCGACTTCAGCGGCCACGAGATCCGGCGGGTGGAGGTGGCGACGGGAGAGGTGACGACGATCGCGGGAAGTGGCACCAGAGGCAGCACTGATGGCGTGGGCGACGCGGCGGAGTTCAACAACCCATGTGGCATCGCCATCAGCTCCGACGCGAGTGCATTGTTTGTGGCTGACCATGAGAACCACAAGATCCGGCGGGTTGAGGTGGCGACTGGCGCTGTGACCACGCTCGCTGGAGGCGGCGAGGAGGGCAACGCGGACGGCGTGGGCGACGCGCGCCCCAGACGATCGCGGGCAGCGGCGCCAGTGGCAGCACTGATGGCGTGGGCGACGCGGCGCAGTTCTACAACCCACACAACGTCGCCATCAGCCCAGACGGCGGCGCGCTGTTCGTGGCGGACTGCGACAACCACAAGATCCGGCGGGTGGAGGTGGCGACGGGAGAGGTGACGACGGTCGCGGGCAGCGGCACCAGGGGCAGCACTGATGGCGTGGGCGACGCGGCGGAGCTCAACGGACCAGCCGAAGTCGCCATCAGCCCAGACGGCAGCACGCTGTTGGTCGGTTCGGAAGGAGGCCTCCGTCAGGTCTGCGTGGCGGCGCCTCCTCCTCCTCCCTCCTTTGCCCCGATCGTCGTTCTGCCCTCCACCATCCTGGCTGACTTCGCAACGACGCGGGGCGACGCCTCCCTCCCGCAGGGCATGGTCACCTTCCTGGTCGGCGACGACGAGGAGCGCGTCGAGCACGTCACCAAGGCCAACCTCTGCGCCCGGTCCCCAGTCTTTCGGACCATGTTTGGCATCGGCATGAAGGAGCGCGACGCCGCCGAGGTCACGGTGGCCCACACCGACCCCGCCAGCTTCACTGCCCTCATCGACTACCTCCTCTCCGACAAGTTCGACCTCGGCGAGGAGGCGGGCGGCAGGGCGCAGCGCGCGCTCGACCTGCGGGAGCTGGCGCAGATGTATCAGGTGCCGCGCCTCGAGCTGCTCTGCGCGCAGGCGCTGCAGGAGAGCGTCGCGCCGGCGACCGCCGTGCCGCTGCTCGAGGCGGCGCACACGATGGGCGACGGGCGGCTCCTCGCGCAGTGCCGCTGCTTCGTGGCCGACCACGCCGCCGAGGTGCGGGCGAGCGGCGGCGTGGAGCAGCTGCGCGACTTTGGCGTGGCCAAGGGGCTGCTCGGCGACGCGCTCGACCAGGTGGCGGAGCTCAAGGGGGCGGTGGCGGCGCGCGACGCGGAGCTCGAGAAGGTCCGGGCGGATAATGAGGAGCTGACCGCAGCTCTGGCAAGTCAGTTTTAGGGCTGCCGACCGGCGGTCTCGATCGTGGGGTGTATGTACTCAGAGCGAGATCTCGGCGGGGCGCTGTTCGAACGCGCTCCTCGGCATAGTCTGCCGAGTCGCTGACGAGCGCGGTGCTCGTGCCGGAGGGGTCGAGATCCGTCCTGGTGACCACCGGGGCCCAGCTGCGCGGCGCGCTGGCCGCGCGGCGTCTGCTCCAAAACTCCCTCCCGCTTAGCGCCCATCCCGCCCTCTGCCCTCGCCCCCCGCCCCTGCCCTGGCTGGCCTGGGTGGCAACTCCTTGTGACGGCGGAGTTGACGTCTCCGACGGTCGTAGCGGCGTGGCTGAGGGCGGCGGTGGAGGCGCCCGAGGGCGCGGCGTGGCTGGTCTCATGGGTCTAGCAAACCATAAACCACACTGAGAGGATGCAACGAAAGCAGGCGGGCGATAGCAGGACGCACGAACTAGTTAGAGGTAATGACCTCGGTGGGTGTGAAAGGTCTACCCATTACCCAAGAAAGGGTAGGCGCGGTTAGATGGGAGGTAGAATGTCTACCCCTACCGCACTCCTCATTATCACGCGCCAAGTGGGAGGGAAGTGGACGGGGCCCTGAGCCGACCTAGCCCTAAACGGAATGGGGCGACCAACACGTGCCGGATTACTGTGCCTTCCCCGGGCACAGCCTTTCGGTTCGTGAAGGGTCGGTGCGTGTCGTGACCCCCTGGAACACCCGTACCCCCGCACCATCTCCGACGCTTGGTTCTATAACCTCTGCCACAACCGGGAGCGGCCAGGCAGGGCTCATAGACTCGCTCGGTCGAGAGACCCCAGATTGGCATCCATGCCTTTCTGGACAGGGTGGCCCGCCACAACGACCCCTGGAATTGCGACTCGCCGCTTTCCTCCCGCTGTGATTCTGTGTGAGCTCTGTGTCTTGTTTCACCTTTCTACCTTTGCCAACAATAGCACTACACCGTAGGTAGGTAGGTAGGTAGAAAGGTGAAGAACAGCCAGGCTCGGACTGGACACCAACGCGGTATGGGTGCACCCTACCACACCCCATAAAGTTTGAACCTTGTCTTGACCCTTGTCGGCCGCCGACTTTGCCCTCCCTACACCAGTGCGACCTGTCGATCCAGGATCGCTTCATGTCGGAGCCGAGCGACGCTCGGGCAGCCGCTGCCCGCGCGCTTGCCGCCCAGCACATCGCGAATGCAGTCAAGGACCGAATGTCGGCAATGTCCGAGGGCAGCCGAGCGCGGCGCCAGGGCAATGTTGCCGAGGGCCCAAAGCCGCCGCCGCCGCCCCCCCCGCCGCCGCCGCCGCCCACAAAGGCAAAGAGCAGCTGGGCCAGGCCACCGCCTCAGCCCGCCAAAGCCAACAGCCTGCCAGCCAAGGTCGCCGCCCAACGCATGGCGAGCATCGACGATGTCCTCGCCCGATACCCCCAGTGGCACAGCATCGACTCGTCGGCACACTCGTGGCAGCGGCGCGGCGCCGTCGGCGCGCACTTGCGGCAGCGCGTGCACGGCGACATCGACCTGTCCAAGTGCGAGCCGGCCGCCTCGATCTGGGACGTGGACTGGGCGGCGGCGACAAACTTCAAGCGGTCCGACGGCGGCCGGTCGAGCGGGGTGTACTTTGTGCTGCTGCCCGGCCAGCGCTGCGTGGTGGTCAAGCCCGACGCCGAGGTGGTGGCTGACTACTGCGGCCACCTCATCGGCACCGCGCTGGGTGTGCGCGCGCCCGAGATGCGATGTGTGCTCACCGCGAGCGAGGAGGGGCTCGCCCTCGAGGCGGCGCTCTCGCGGCTCGACGCCGCCAAGCCGCTCAAGCAGCGCTCCTCGCCGCCCGTCGCGGCCGTGCTGGCCGCGGTCCCGACCTGCCTTGTGATGGAGTTCGTGCCCGGCGTCTCGCTGAAGGGGCTTCTAGGACCCTTCTAGGAACCTTCTAGGACCCTTCTAGGAACCTTCTAGGCGTCTCGCTGAAGGGGCTCGCCATCACCGCCCTCTTCGACCCGCCCGCCGCCGCGGCGCGCTGCGAGCGCGTGTTTGGCCCTCGAGGCGAGCTCTCGCCCTCTCTCCCCATAGCTCCCCGTAGCCCCTCATGGCTCCGCGCCTGGCCACACCCTTCCTCTGCGTCGCGCGAGGCGGGTACCACACCTCCAGAGTCCCGAATCCAGTGTGGGTTCAGGTCCTTGGGTGGTGTGGTAGGCGAGCTCTCGCCGTCTGGCCGCGAGCAGCTGCAGATGCTCGGGCGCACGCTCGCCTTTGACATCCTGATTCACAACTACGACCGGCTGCGCTGCCTCTGGGGCCGCGACGGCGAGGCGTGCGCAGCGTCTCCTCACACCCGCCGCTGTGGATAGGCTGCCCTGCATCTGGGGCAACGACGGCAACTCTGAGAACGTGATGATCGACGCCGAGGACCGGGTCGTGGCCATCGACTCCATGATGAGCGCGTTCGACCCGCACGAGCCGCGCTCTGCGCCCCTCTTTGGCGAGTACAAGCGCAAGGTGGCCGCGCTCGTGGGGGAGGTGTGTGCGCTTGAGCAATGAGACTCAGCTAGTGAAGAGCTCAGTGGCCGCCCGCGCGGGAGAGGTGTGCGCGGGAGAGGTGTGCGCGGGAGAGGTGTGCGCGGGAGAGGTGTGCGCGGGAGAGGTGTGCGCGGGAGAGGTGTGCGCGGGAGAGGTGTGCGCGGGAGAGGTGTGCGCGGGAGAGGTGTGCGCGGGAGAGGTGTGCGCGGGAGAGGTGTGCGCGGGAGAGGTGTGCGCGGGAGAGGTGTGCGCGGGAGAGGTGTGCGCGGGGATGTCCCGAGAGGAGTCGACAGGACCCGAGAGGACCCGAGGTTCGTGGGCCGAACCGTCCAGGAACCGTCCAGGAACCGACCGATAGGTGTGCGCCTCGCCGCGCGCGCCGCATGCCGCTTTTGCCCCCCTGCGGCGGCTGCTGCTGCACGGCAGCGGCGACGAGTCCAGCGAGGTGTACTGCCCGCCCCTCGAGATCGCACGAGATTGCTCGAGATCGCTCGAGATCGCTCCAGATTCGCACGAGATCGCCACCAGATCGCTCCAGATTCGCACGAGATCGCCACGAGATCGCTCCAGATTCGCACGAGATCGCCACCAGATCGCTCCAGATTCGCACGAGATCGCCACCAGATCGCTCCAGATTCGCACGAGATCGCCACCAGATCGCTCCAGATTCGCACGAGATCGCCACCAGATCGCTCCAGATTCGCACGAGATCGCCACGAGATCGCTCCAGATCGCTCCAGATCGCTCCAGATCGCCGCTCATCTCGAGGATGCCCGCGGGCAGGCGTACTGCCCCCCCCTCGACTACGACATTGGCGTGGCGGGCGTGCTGGAGGTGCAGCAGGGCTTCAGCGCCGCCATCGCCGACATCGCCGCCCTGCCGCCCACGGCGTTCGCCGACCTGCCCGAGCTGCTGCACCTCTTCCTCGGAGGGCCGGGCGGGGGCGACACGCGGTGCAACCCGGCCTTCGTCGGCAGCATCGCCGCCATCTTCCGACGCGCGACCGCCCCGCAGGCGCGCGCGCAGGCCAAGTTCGGGCTGCACGCGCGCGGGGCGGCCGTACGGCCGGCCTGGCCCAGCCAGATCGACTCGAGCGCCGCGCTGCGCGACGCGGGCCACGCGGCCCTGGGGCTGCGGCCCGGGGTCCGCGCAGCGGCTGTCTCGCGCGTCGAGAAGGTTGTGCTGAGCGAGCCGGAGGAGGGCGGCGGCGAGGACGCGCCCGCGGGGACGGGCTGCAGCTGCAGCTGCGTCCTGATGTAAGGGCCTTGGAGCTTGACGGCGAGTCGAGTCGTGTTACGTGTTCGACACCGCATGTCACAGCGTTTGTTAGTTATTTGCTTTAGTCACCCCACAGCAAAAGCGCACAGACCACAGTCCCGTGTGCAGAGTAGGTGAGAGTTCCGGACCCCCCCGAAAGCCCAATGGCCAATCCCCCCACTCCGGAGGACCCATCGGCGCACATCCACCCATCCCAAGAAGACACACAGCGCCGTGGTCGGAGGCGAGCCGCGAGCGCGAGGGGCAAAGCAAAATCACCGCACTCACGGCTCTACTCCGTCTCGCGCGTGATCGCGAAGCGCAGCACGCACGTGACAAAGTCGCGCGCCGCGATGCCGTTCGTGTTTCCTGCCGAGTCGAGATGGTGCCGCTCGTGGATCTCGTAGATCGAGAGGACGAGGAGCGCCGCCCGCGCGCGGGCTGCCGCGGGGAAGAGCGAGTGGCTTGCCGGCGACCACGGCGCCGCCGCCCGCCGGATCAGCGCCGCCACCTCGCCCGCGCCGCCCGCGGCGCGCCGCAGCGGCGTCGGCTCGCCCTCGCGCAAGCTTGCGCCGCTGCGCAGGAGGGAGGTGGCGCGGGCGGCGGTGAGGCTCTCAAGGTGCGCGAGCGGCGTCCAGCCGCGGCTGGCGACCAGCCAGGCGGCGAGGTCGGCGTGGCCGCGGCGGTTCGCGGCCTCCTCGGGCGTGCCGAAGGGCGTAGCGGCGCGGGAGGCGCCGTAGGAGGAGAGGAGCTTGGCGACCTCGAGGTGGCCCTTGTCGCACGCGGCGAACAGCGGCGTGACGCCGTCGTTGCGGGCTTGGCTGATCGCCGCGCCAGCCTCGAGGAGCATCTGGGCGATGTCAACGTGGGCCTTCTGGCACGCGATGTACAGCGGCGTGGCGCCATCCTGCTTGGCTTGGTCGACCGCCGCGCCAGCCTCGAGGAGCAGCCGAACGCACTCGAGTTGGCCCTGCTGGCTCGCCATGAACAGCGGCGTGGTGCCGTCATTGCGGGCTTGGTTGACCGCTGCGCCAGCGTCGCGCAGCAGCTTGGCGACCTCGAGGTGGCCCTGCCAGCACGCGATGCACAGCGGCGTGCAGCCGTCGTCCTCCTTGGCTTGGTCGACCGCCGCGCCAGCCTCGAGGAGCAGCCGGACGATCTCGAGGTGGCCCTTCTGGCACGCAACGAACAGCGGCGAGAAGCCTCCATCATCAGCTTGGCCGACCGCCGCGCCAGCGTCGCACAGCAGCCGGGCGACCTCGAGGTGGCCGAAGTGGCACGCGGCGAGCAGCGGCGTGCGGCCTTGAGCGTCTGCATGAGCCACCGCCGCGCCAGCCTCGAGAAGCAGCCGCGCGATCTCGACGTGGCCCTTTAGGGACGCGACGAGCAGCGGCGTGGCGCCGTCAGAATCTGCTTGGTTCACCGCGGCGCCAGCGGCGATCATCAGCCGAACGCAGTCGATCTTGCCCTCCTGGCTCGCAGCGCTCAGCGGTGTGACGCCTTCAGCGTCAGCTTGGTCGACCGCCGCGCCCGCCTCGAGAAGGAGCCTGGCGCACTCGATCTGGCCCCGAGCGCACGCGATGAGCAGCGGCGTGACGCCGTCGTCCGTGGCCTGGCCGACCGCCGCGCCCGCCTCGAGGAGCAGCCGGACGATCTCGAGGTGGCCCTCCTGGCACGCCTTGAACAGCGGCGTGCAACCTTCAGCGTTCGCCTCTGATTGGTTGACCGCCGCGCCAGCCTCGACGAGCAGCCGGGCGCACTCTAGCAGCCCCTTATAGCACGCGATGTACAGCGCGGAAGCGCCGCGGCCAGTCGTCGCCCCGACGCTCGCGCCGCTGTCGAGCAGCAGCCGCACCGCCTCGGCCTGCCCGTGACGAGCGGCCCAGGTCAGAAGCGTGTCTTGCGTCTCGGTGTCGTGCCGCGCGTCGAGCTGGGCCGCGAGCGACGTGCCGTGTGTCCCCTCCTCGGCGAGGAGGGCGTGCAGCGAGGCCAGGTCGCCCCGAGCCAGGTCGGCGAGCTGGCTCGCGGCTGCCGCCCTGAGGGCCGCCTCCGCCGCGCGCAGCCGCTGCCTCTTCGCGGCCAGCTGCTCGCGCTGCTCCTGTATGGTTGGGGGGAGGGTCATGATCGGCGAGTGTGGCGCTACCATCGTTGGGATAGCTTCACATGCGCTAAAATGAAGGCGGGCATCGTGGTTGGATGCCTGCTCAAGGTGGTCGCGATGGCGAGCGATGACGAGGGATTCGCGCTCAGCGTGACGAGCAAGCTCAGGGAGTTTACGGCACTCGGATACCCTTCGCACGTGCTTAATGGGGCGATCGGGCGCACGTTTGCTCGGACAAGAGACGAGCGACTCCTACGAGCAAGAATATGTTCGCACTGGTGAAGACCAGGCGAGCCAAAAAGACAAAAAAGACTCATCTAAGCATGTCGGAGAACCGTCCAAAGGCGGGTGCAGTCGACCAAGGGACATGATCTGTCGACAGCACGAATTTGTGATGGGACACCATCGGGACCCAACAGTGCGATACTTGGCTATCGCACTGTTGACGTACCGGCGGCTAAGGCCGAGTAGCCGGTGTTCACAGAGCTCTGTGAACACCGGCGAGAGAATTTTTCTCTCGACGATTTCTTCTACGAAGAAACGTTCAAAACACTCGGTGTCGAAACACCTCTCCGACGCGCTCGACTATAGTCGGCGGTGTTTTCAAAGAAACGTAGGCGCGCACGGATGAAGAAGAATTTTAGCGCGACTCGCTTAGTGTGGGTAAACGAAAAGTACCGTATACGGCACTACCGTCGGGTATAGAGAAAAAGCCGAAAAAAGACGCCGGCGGTCCTGGCGGAGCTTGGGCGATCGGCCTGTCGTTCGCGGCCAGCACCGGCGTGCTCAGGCCAGTACAGGCACGGGAAGTGCGGGGACTGGCAAGACGACTGGTTGGCTCGACCGGACCTTCTTGGACAGGTTTTCCGGTGGGAGGGGGAGGGCTACCTCGTCAACGACATCGCACCGGGACCGACGCAGTCGGGGGGGCAGGCGATGAAGGCGTACGCCTGCTGTGTGAAGAGGCGGGTGGCATCGGCGGGCCCGCTATCCGAACACAACTCGGCCTTCGATATCCGGTCAGTGTGGGACCGAATCGAAAGGGACCGGGCGAGTGGGGAGGCGACGCGACTACTGCACAGTCTACGGCCTGATGCGGAGCGGGGGGGGGGAGAGGCGGGGCCGTCGGCGAATCCGGGTCCTGCCCCCCCCCCCCTCCCGAGGGGAGACGAGAGCTAGGCCCCCCCCCACGAGCGGGGTGGACGGCCGACGCGTGGAACCACGGCTGGAACGGCCGCAGGGGCAGGGGGCATCCCCCGAGGCCCCGCCCCAGGAGTTGCGGCGGCCGGCGCCGCCACCAGGCCCGCCCCCACCACCACCGCCTCCGCCCCCGCCGCTGGAGCGACCGCTGGGTCGAGGAGCCGCCCCTGAGGTTCCACACCAGGCGGTGCGGCCGCCAGTGCCGCCATCGTTTCCGCCACCCACACTGCCACTTCCGCCCCCGCCACTGGAACGGCTGCAGGGTCGTGGGGCCGCCCCAGCGGCTCCACACCAGGCGTTTGGGCCGCGAGGGCCGCCACCGTACCCGCCGCCCCTGCCACCGCCTCCACCCCCGCCGCCGACGGGGCCGCCACCGTATGGACCCGCTCGGAATAACCGGGGGGACCCGAGACCGCCCCGCCGGAGGCTGGTGTACCCGGGAGGAGGAGCTGGGGGAGGGGAGTTGCCGCAATACGATAACGGACCCGCCGGCGAGCCGGAGGGCCGAGGCCGGAGGGCCCCGGGGGGGGCTTGGGGTCAGCTGTCGGAGGAGGCGAGAGATGAGCAGCAGAGGAGCTGCTCTCCAGGCTTCTGTCGCAAAGAGCTGCATGCCACCGAAAGCGCTGTCGAGGTTCGCCGAGCGCGGCGCAGGTTGGAGGACACCGTCACCGACGAGCGCGTTGGAGTATTCACTCCGGACAAAGACGGGTAGACGCACACGAGCCGCGGTCGTCTACCCGTCATAGCGGCGAGGCGCGGGACCGTCTGTGGCGAAGTGGGTCGCGTCCTCCGATTTTGTTCAACCCCCAGCATCCACACCCTTTACCCAAGACGCGCAGAGGCAGCTGCGACCCCGCCGAGT